TTTCTTTTTTTATTTTCCTCTTTACGTTTTCTATTTTCCTTAGGCAAATGTCTCGAATAAAGTTAATCGCTTTCCCATTTTTCTTCTTGAATCTTTGAATACTCCAGACCACCTATCCATTCAGTTTTTAGCCTCCCTCGTACCGCCTCTTCTCTGCCGTTCCTTGTTACTTCCTCATAACATTTCTTTTCACCTTATGGTTTGTTCCAGGGCCCCCGAGGAGATGTTGTGTTTCCCTTGTTCCTTTTTCCTTGTCCCCTACATATCTCTACGTACCTACGTAACAAAAATCTATTTTTTTTCCCCCTTAATTGGGTTGTTTTTGCTTTAAAATATGTACTTCTGCGCATCATGTTTGCAGCCTCATTGGAAGCAATTTCTCTCCAGGCATTTTATCATTCGTTTCTTTTCGTCGCGGTATTCCTTGTAGGTATAATGTGTATTTACACTTATTTTTTTTTTTTTATAAGGGATTTGCTTTCGATCTAAAATTTCAACACTGTTTCTAGCTTCATTCTAGCTAGTTTTAGTTTTAGCTGGTGAAATAATTAACGAACATTGAGATGAACGTGCGATCTTCAATTTCTTTCTTTCAATTTATTCCTTTCCATGACGAAGCTTTGTTTATTTATTGGCGCAGGAAGGGGGAATGCAATTGATTTACCCTTTTTTTTTTTTTTGGCGTTTTTCAACATCTAGAACCTCTGGAACCTTTGTTCAGTGGAGAAAAATCCATTCCTTCCTAGATCTGGCACTTAACTCAATTAAAACTTCAAGGACCTTGTGGCTTGTTCAGATCCAAAACTTCCCGGGGTCCGGAGATCCCGTCCTGTGCTAAAAGGAAACCGGGCTTCTTAGTAATTTTTATTATTAACTAACTAGTTAGTTAACGTAAATTGATTTCTTCCCGTCTTCCACTACTTTTGTTTTTCTATCACTTCTAATTTTTAAGAGAAAAAAAAGTTAGAAAAAAAAAGAAGAAAAAGTATATAAAAAAACAACAAAAAAAGGGATAAGATATAAAAACAAAGTGTTTTCGTGGGAAGATGATTGGGAACCTTCTTTGCGTCTGTCTCTTATGTGGCCTGTGTTACAACCAGGTTTGTGATGTCACATGACCTAGGTAGGGTCAAATAGTTAGTTACTGAGAGGGCATGAGAGAGAAGAATGAAGAATGAAGAAAATCCAAATTTTGGAAAGTTTTTGTATTTTCGCATACTCCAATTCACTATCTGTAGAGAACTAGCATTTGGGATTTTCCCCAAGTAAGGTATGTGGTTGCTGCAGGTGTTCGTTGGTGCAGTGCAGTCGAGGTGCGGGAGCATATAATAGTGAGTGCACGTTATGATGGATAAAAGACGGACGTATCAAGAATATCGGTTTAGGATCTTGATCTTGATCTTGATCTAGTGTCTGACAGTTCAACGGGTGATTTTTTTTTTTTTTTTTTTTTTTTTTGGTCCTTGCTTCCTAAGACTGGGTGGGTGTAAATAGATACGTGGGTATGGTCAACCAGCAATGGAAGTTGTAGGACTGAGAGTCGTGCTGGAACGAATGAGTTGATGAGTTGGTATGGTGGTGGTGGTGGTGGTGGTGGTGTTGTTGTTGGTGATGGTGCGAGGGCCTCCGCAAAGGCTTTTTGGTTGCAGGAGAGAAGGGGAGGCACAAGGAGGTAATCTGTACCGTGATGGTGTGGACATGTGTTATATGACCCGAGAGGGAACAGATCGGTAAAATAGAGAATAAAAATATTTCCTCCCGAACAATTAGCGGCTATGACATTTACATTTAAGAAACGGGAAAGGCGGTGGTTGGAGCAGGGTGAGGAGACTGGATGGGATTTGGTCGTTGTGTTCATGTTCATGTACACGTCTCGTATTCATCAATCTTTATCAGCACCCCATTTTATCAGACAATCATCAGAAAGTACTAAACACGTTATGACAATCAGAGATCCATACTCCATCGCCAAGGACGAACGCTACGTGGCGTCTCATCATCATCAAAACATGATGTTTTGGGATTTCTGACTTCAACATGTACGGTGCGCACATGTTCGGTATGTTTAAGATCGATATCGAGAGTTGAAGATGGCCAAGCCGTATGGAGCTTTAGATCGTGCTGCTGCTGCTGCTGTTGATGCTGTTGCTGTTGAATGGAGAATGCTTTCCCGCTATCAGCCGTTGCCTTTGAGGCCGGTCGGGATTGCAAGTGTTCTTCACCGATAGATTGCCATGGCCAATGCCAGGTTGCTGGGGAGGGGTTATCGGATGGTGTAGAGGTGTTGTTATTATCGCTACCGCTATTTTGTTTGCGGGAGTGCTGAGGATAATTCGGAGACGGTGAGTTCGAACGGGAGTTGATCGATGGAGAACGGCTTCGTCGATGGTCATCTGGTGAGGATATTTGGCGGTCACAATCAAGGGAGGAACTAGCGCTAGTTCCTGGAGCGAATACTGGACGTGGAGGGAGGAGGACGACATCGTCTGGGGAGGTTGGCGAGAGTGCATAGAAGTTATCTGTCGCGACGTGTAGGGGGGGTGGTTTGACACGTCTTCTAGCCGTTGGCGAAATATTGGGCTGGGTTGGGTTTGGCCAGTTCTGTGTGCCGTCGAAAGTACCGTCAAGGTGCGCTTCAATTGATCTCCGGTTTGGTCTCCTTCGAGCAGAGGGCGATACGCTATCCTCCTGTTCCTCCCCTTCGTCAGCTCGAGGGGAGGCACCATCTACATTTTTATACTTAATACCAGTGATCTTCTCCCGAATTCCATGTCGCGCATCGTGAACAGAGAGATTTGATCGGACTTTTCCAGCCATCACTTTGGCGCTGGGGGGAGGCTGCAACATCCACCTTGTTTCCGCCCTGCTAGTCGGCCCACAAACGATTGGTGGGTGCAAATCGTTAACGTCCGGATTCCGAGCTACGTAGTACTTGGTAGAACTACCAGTATCCGCTCGCCCACGACCAGACAATCCGACAGAAGATCCCTTAACTTCTTTGCCACCCCATAGCACCTCATCTTCCCGTTGGTAGCGTATTCGATTCCAACGATCTCCAAGCTGGTTCATGAGGGGCTCCTTATCTTTCCTTGAAGAGGGTACCAAGTCCTCCAAAACACCTGTCACTGCCTCAGCTAAGGAGCTACCGGGGGCATTTTGAGGGCTAACTTTAGCTTTAGCTTTGGGTTTTGCATCTGGCTTTGGGGTGGGGCTACCCCCTTGGCTTCCCGTACGGCCGGTCTTGTTGTGATTGTGATTGTTGAGAGTGCTGTTGAGATTGTGAAGGTTCTTGCGCCCGGCTCGTTTCGCAGGAGGGCCAGGGCCCAGGCCGATCTCTTCGTCCCAGTATGAATTTGTGCTGAAGGGGAATGGTTGGTGGAAGACAATTGGGGGTTGGTCGGTTATGATGTCGCCGTTTGGCGAGGGAGGGGGTTCACGATGAGTTCGAGCGGCATCCTTTTTTCGTCTCCTTCGATGAATTGAGGCAGCACAGGGGGTGCAGGCTGCGTAGTAGAAAACAGCGGATTGGGCACCCCTGAACAGCCACATGATCTTCTCCTTCGGATCTCTTCTTCCCCCTTCTCTCCTGTTCGTCTGTCTATGGGTTTAAAGATATGAAGAATGGTCGAATGTTGACAAGTGGTAGAACGGATCTCGGATGGACGTGGATTTTGATACGGAGCACATTGGCGGGTTGCTACGATACGGTCGGATATTTAGCTGCTGGGTATAAAGCGGTAACCATGGGGTCTGGAGGAGAAGTCTCCTACATCGGACGCTGATTGAACGACTGACATTAGCCAGGATGTCGTTGGATGAAATAAGAGGTGATATGGGGGGTTGAGGGGGCGGGGGTTGGTAGTGGACTACTACGACAGGCCCTCGTCCCACCTGCCAGAGTCGTACGCGGTTACCAAGGACCACGAATCACAGTAGTAAATAAGGAGAGCAGTGTGGGAACAGCATACCTAATAATAAGAATAATAAGAGCACGCCTTATCCACAGCAAATAATGTTGCTTACCGTGGCCAGTATGCTCAGTCAGGGGGGCTCTCTACTGGTGAAGCCAGCAGCGCAACAGTGAAGGTGAAGACGAAGATGAAGATTGAGGATGGGTATAGACGCCTCCGGTCAATTGACAACGGTCATTGATGCCTAGGCAGATGGGGTTCATTGGCGGGTCCAGGGTGTTGTTGACAGGTATGGGAGGAGAGAGGTGGAGTTAATGGACATGGGTTTGTTGTAGTTAGTAAATAAGATTATTCTTACATTTAATTTTTAACAGGTATGTTGGGGAATAGCTTTTTGACCCAAGAGGCTATAGAACTAGTTATTGGGGTGAAGGAAGAGACAGATAGAGAACAAGCGCCCAAAACTCTCCCACATTTAACTATTCCACTTTTCCACTTTTCCCACTTTCGAGGTCCATCACCCAATCTCTAAACTAAGCACGGCACTGAGGCGCTCTCACAAGCTGCGGCAGATGCCAGACAATGAGGCTAGAAGCAGGTGAAACGTTAGGTCCCAAGTTTCTGGACTAGATCAAAGTCTCACCATGATATTGACTTTGAGGCGATTTTTATTTTTAATTTTAATTTAGCTAAAGTTTTCTCTTCTTCTTGCTTCTTCTGCTTCTTGTCTTGAATAACGTGATGGGAATAACAAAACTACATGATATCATTCTCAATTGTATCTCATCTGAGAAATTGTCGTTGGGAAGAAGCCACCCAGGTTTTGTCTATTCCCTCGCTACAGAGTACTCCGCACAGTTGAGTGGATTGTCATTTCTACCTCTCCCATGATCTTCAACCTCAGAAGATTTTTATGCACTAGTTAACAGTGGGACACAATATGTATATTCATCTTCTACATATTTTCCAAAATTCTCGCTGTATCTTTGATCCTCATGTGCCGGTCATTCATTTCCAAAAGAATTCAGTTAGGACGTATGCAAGTGGTCCACACTCTGCAATCTGGGCCCTTCCTCTTTGAACTCAAAGAGTCTTTTTCAGCACTTTCATTACCCGAACCTCACGTTCCTCCCGGGATCCGATCAACCATTTGTATCATCATCCATTGTCCAACCTATTATTCTCTATTTGAGGGTTTGATGTGGGGTAACTATAGGACCACTCTCTTCGATATATCGTTTTAAAATTCTTCTCTCCTACGACTAGATCGCAGCTCTGAAATAAATAGGATACTGGAAAATATAATCTATACACTTTCCATTTCTTTCGATCTTTGGCTGTTTGACATCGAACATGCCATTCCGTATACCTTTGGTCAGGAGAGAGGCGCATGATGAGTCGACATGAATGGATGGACCCGGCGTAACTGGGAAACCAGAATAATAAAGAGAGAACCTTTGGCGACTGCGCCTTTCATCTAAATATTCACTGCATTACACATATTTTCTGATTACCAAATTTCCCAATATAATCCATCCCAATTCATAGAGTTCCAAGGTTAGGATGTCCCATCTCAAATTTCAGCCAAACAATGGGTACTTAGGTACAGTTCCCCCTCTATTTATCTGACCGAGCTGAATTTACGTTCAATATGACTGAATCTTTTTTTACCTGCAGATGGTATTACAATTCGCTTCTCACACAAATCTCATCTCATTTGAATAGACGATTAGCTGACCAGTGGGTTATGATAGGAACTGATGCTTCTTTATGACGGACAGTATGAATTAACTGTTGTCTGGCAGCCACTCTATTGCATATAGTTTAGCTAGATAGTCTCTCGTCCAATCCAAAAATTAATCAACCCACAGGTTATAGCTTAGTCCATATGTTGATAATGATATTTATATCTTTTCCTTATTTTTATAAGATATTTAGATTTTGAGATTTATAGCAAAGCAATTTATATTCTCTTCTCTGAATAAAAATAATTATTGAAACTACTTTTAAAGCTTTTGAAACTTTTATAATTAGAGAAAATGCTAAAAGTAACTCTGCTAAAAAGTCTATAAAATATAAATAATTAAAAAAAAAACTAGTATAATAAAAAAGTTTAAATATAAATAAAAAAGTTTTTCAAGTTACAAGAAATTCTTTATCTTTGTATTTGTTATAAATAATAAAATTATAACTAACATTTGCTATAACTAAATTTATTACTACTTTATTAATAAATAATTAATAATATTATCTTCACAAATGATTTAAAATGGAAATATGTATAAATATAAAATCTTGAAATCTTAACTAATAAATGCAAAAATTAATATGCATATTGACAGAATGGCAAGCTTGGTTGATTGCAAAGGTTGCCAACTACGAGAACAACTATACGCTGGAAAATAGGTCACGGGAACGGAAGAGTCTGACATATAGTTTAACTAGCCTCTCGTCGATACATTTTATCTTCCCTTGCATGCATAATTGCCTAGGAAACCTGCGACAATGCCTCTGTTATTTTGACCTGCTTGGGAAAGTTATTAGTCTTGCATCAGCTATTTACACCACGCCCCCGGCCCCCCCCCCTCGCTTTGAGATAAAATTTGAGGTTTCGCTTTTGAAATTTCCTAACTAGGAGAGCTTTACGGAGTAAACATAAGGTTCCCCCTTTCCCCCCTACCCTGCCCTGTCAACCACATGAGCGATATATTGTACTTTGCAAGCCATTGCCGAGGGGAATTGTTCTGGATATGGTGAAAGGAAACACAGCATGTCGCTGTTTTTGGGATGCTACGTCATGGTATATACATACGTGCACTTATGAGATGAGTGGAAGGAAGTCTCTGATGAAAGACGATGGTGAGCGTGTATTGCGGTTCCCTTCGCAAGTTGAATCAATGGAGTCATAGTTACATGTTACGCATATTATGCCTAGGTACGCAGTATAAAATAAGATACGAATGCAGCAAAACAAATCTATGCACAATCACCACCTCAGGCCAACCCAAGAATTCAAGTTGATGAGAGGTAACTTCTGTCTGCCAACATATTTTCTCGCTGATGCGGTCGTTCGCCCTCTCACCCAACCTCAAACTTGCATCGTGCTCTCCGGTTCCTCGGTTTGAGGTATACTTAGGTGTGAACAGATGGTTGGTTGGCTGGCTGGCGCGGATCGGGATAAATTTGTCTCCAGCTTGGTGCCCGGGCGAAGCAGACTTGCACGCAGTCCAGCAAGAAACCCGAGAAAGAAAACTATGCCATGCTCATCCCAGTCCTCCACATTGCAGGTAAAAGCACTCGACTCCCTCGACCAGTTATGCACATCTCACCACGCCTTATCAAGATCATGTTAATTGAGAGCCCCAATAGGCCGGAATTTGGTTGCAGAAAAAACTGTCCACACAATTATTTCCTCTTACCATTACCGGCGGGGTGTACAATATATTGGTTCAATGTTTCAATCCCTTCTCCTCCTGATGAATCAAGACTGTTTTTCCATGTACAGTACATTTCCCTTTTGCGTCCCATGCCTCGATTCTGTCCTTTGACACCTCCCTTTGCTTTCCTGTTTCCCCCTTGATTAAACCAAGCCCCGTTCCATAATATATGTCATCCTACGTATTACCATCTCTCCCTGCACGCAGAACCATAGCGCTGCTCCGGGGGAACTAGAAAATGGGGGTGAAATAGAGGCAGCATACCCCGTATAATCAGCGGACGCGGGGTAAAATGGAAAAGCGGTCCCCACTTTAAATAAAAAGAAAAAGAAAAGAAAAGAAAAGAAAAGGCATGCATCGGGGGTTTCCACTCTTAGATATGTTTCGTGCTCTTGACCATTTCACCCTTAACCTTAGACCAGTCAATGCCACTGTCGATTTCCTCATCGACTTCTCCGCAGATGACGACGTTATCGCCACGTATCAGATACAGGCCATGTTCGACCTGCGAGCTGGGTTCTGGGTCATCGGGGGTTCGTATTATGCGCTCCACTGTCTGTGACAGGACGAGATTTGTGAGTTGATCGGTAGAAAGGAGGGTGCCAATTAGTGTGCGACCGTCTACGGTGAGGATGAGGACCTTTTCTGTTGTGGGCAGAGAGGGTATATACGTTAGCTCTGGTTTTTTACGGGTAGGTTTGGCAGCTAGCCATTGCGGATATGAGTGCGGATATCACTGGGGCAATCAACTGTTTATGTAGGATTGGAGAGACATGATTTCGGTAGCAACCCAAATTGGAACCCCCGTCTCTCTTAAATTGAACAGGATCCGGACAGAACAGTCGACTGAGATTCTATCCCTCTCCCACTTCCCCCGGGTTAGGGAGGTTGAATGGGAATGACGGAACAATTGAGAAAGGTCCACCAGAGACAAGGATGTAGCAAGAATAGGAAGATATTATGTAAGAAATATTCGCTGGTAAGTCTGTAAACGGTAATATTGTTTGCGCTCAGATATTATTTGGTTTTCTTTAGAGTAATTGATCTCATCTTTTTCAATTCGGGCTCGGCACAAGTTCTGTTGATTAGATAATACAAGCCAAACGATTTCCCCACCGGGCGAAACAACCAATTTGAAATATTTCAATTATCAAACTCATCCACTTCAACACACAATTATGACGCCAATTCGCAATAAAAAGTCTTCAAATTCTCCTGAGAGGGAGGGAAGTCTTGAGCTTATGATAAATGCTATTAAAATGCAAGAAATATTCTCAGTTTCTGAAGCTGTGTGTCTATATGAGGTTCCTCACTCAACTCTTGTCCATCAACTCAACGACTGAACTGTACTGGTGAATTTTACGCACAAATTCACAGAGACTGACTCAGGCTGAAGAGGATAGTCTTGTTGAATGGATGAGATAGGAGTCAAATGGCTTACTAGGTTGTTTATTCCAGCGCAAATCCACGCAGGGCTGGCACACATATACTGTTTATTCTGGACGGACACGGCAGTCATCTTACTCTCAAATTTGATCATATTCGCAAAGAGACTAGGATTATTTCTTTCTGCATGTCAGCACATTCATTACATCTCTTGCAGTCGTTAGATGCGAGTGTTTTTGTTGTTTTAAAATGAGCATATGGAGGGAGGTCTAGTTGAGTAGAGAATTTGGTTTGGATTCAATCTTATTATAAAGGAGATTTTCTAGATGCTTATTCTGCAAGTGTGGACACAAGCCTTTACTACACACAGGACTCAATGTGAAGGAGGTCTAACTAGGAATGAAGCTCAGGGCCTCATTCCAGCAGCTGAGCCTGTTGAACAGCCCGTCATTCAACCCCCGCGAGCCTGCCACCCCCTAGCCTGCAGTATGATCACGGCTCCACCACGGTGCAGCAATTGCAGTTCCCATAGGGATAGAAGAGCTGGATGCCCTAAACCTAGTGCCATTTAATTTGATTTAATTAGGGGTTGTTGAGTGTAGATAATTTGAGTTGAAATCTAGCCAGTTGACGGGTGTTCGCTCGGTGGGGAATAACGTTGGTTGCTAGTTAACTAGTTAGTTATTCCATTAGTTTAGCGAACTGAGGTTGGAATTAATTTATACCGAATTCTCAACAGGTAATGACTAGTTCATCATCTGCGCTGAACAACGACTCTTCCCAATGAAAACAAGTAGCTAGAAGCATTCTGAAAATGAGATTCTCGAGATCCGAAATAATGAAGGATAGAGAATAGTAAGGGGCCCCACACCGTTTTTCAAACCTAGAGATTGTTGTCAAGGTTGGTTTCCAAGAGTAACAATATTCCAGTCGGTGGTCAGTGTCCTAGAAATATGGCTGAAATAATCGACCCTGCTTGGGAGGGATATATGTGTTTTGGGTGGACTGAAGACCTCCTCGCGATAACGAACCCCTAATCATATATTTTACCTAAAACATTCCTAAACTGAAATAGAATATATGCAAAATCGCAGACAATGAAACCCCTCCATACCTAGAAAACAAGTTAAAACCAAGCTAAAACCAAATAAAAAGAATCATAAAATGAGAAAGTTACCAGAGCCCCCAACGATACACCGGTTAGTTCATAATCAAAGACTCAGAGCAATATTCTAGAGGATGCCAGACAAAAAAGGAGGTAAAAGAGGTTGGAAGGTCCAGTCCGGAGTCTGATGAAATTGACTGATACCAGGCGCATATCCCTTCCACAACTTTTCCCCCTGGAGCATCCATCCAGCTCTTGAACTGTTCATAACCAGTACTAGTATTCACCACATAAAAAAGAAAGGAAAAGAAGGGCGAGCAACAATCTTGAGTCAAATTTAGCTGAATGTGTACATATATGTGCAGGATTGAAAGGGGGTGTGTTTCAACTCAGCTCCGAAAGATCCAATGGAACGCTACTGCCCCTACCAGCTCTATACAGTTTCTGGCCAACACGGAACTCCCTGGGTTTCGGAAATAGTGACTCGTTTTGGAATTTGAATCTTGAATCCTCTATTGGAACTCGTTGGGAAGAACTTCTCATGGAGTTAGCTTGGGAATTAGGTCGTAGTGATGGACCGCCATTTGTGAGCGTGTAGTTACTTGGGTCCAGTAATGAGTGGACAGTTTGCTGTTGCTGTTGAGGTGCTTGATGTTGGTCTGCGTAGGAGGATGGACGTGAAGTGAAGGGAGTCGACAGTAAGGACGATGTTCGCGCCGATGATAGTGAGGGAAGGGATGATGTTGGGGGTGGTGGTGGTGGAGGCGCGGATGGAGCAGCCGTTTGTGGTAGAGGTGGGGTCGCTTGCGAAAAAGCGCTCCTAGCAGCTTGCATAGCTATTGACGCTGAGGCTGCTGCAGGGGGTCCGTTGGTAGCAGGCGGGGGTGGCGGCGTTAATCGAGACGGAGGTGGCCGGGGAGCGGAAGATGGTGGAGGAGGTGGTGGGGCAGATGATGGTGGAGGTGCCAGATGCGCTGATGTTGGTGGTGGAGGAGGGGCTGCTGGGGGAGGCGGGGCTGATACCTTTCGAGCTGTTGGGGGGGGAGGGGGTTTGGCGCCCGGAAACGGTGGTCGTGGAGCTGGGGATTCTGGAGCTGATCTGGTAGAGAGATGAGAGACTGATGATAAAGGTCTCTGTGAAGGACGAGGCGGAGCCTTTCGTAGATTTGCAACCATAGGATTCTCGGGGGGTTGTGGAGGACCGTCATTTGTCGGCAGTGGAGGGCGAAAGCCTGGGGCTTTGGTGGGGGGTTTTGGAGCACTGCCCGTAGGAGCCCATGGGCCTGATTTTCTGGAGTGTTCCGAGTCTGAGAGGTATGAGGCATCTGGGTTCGCGCCGGTATCAATCCCACCACGCTTCTTCAGCTTTGGCATGCCGCCAGCAAATAATCCACCTATTTGAGGTGCTGAAGAAATTATCCCGGATTCGTCACTACCACCACCAGTAGGAACTACTCTACGGCCTTCGTCGCTATTACTCCGCAATCGGTTTCCACCCGAGACTGGCGGTGCTAGGCCAGCCGATGGTCTAGGCATCCCGGCAGGAACGGGAGGTGCTCCGCCGATAGGAGGGCCACTAGATGCTCCGGACGACTTCCCAATCATAGGGGCAGATCTATCATTCGTTACGGCTTTCTTAAGGCGGGTGCCTTTCGAGATATCTGAGAGAAGAGCTCCCTAAGCAGTAGGTGTTAGTTTGGATGAGGATATTCTAAAGGGGTCCATGAGATCATACCCGGTCTTGCACAACTGCTTTTGGAACTTTACTAGGTAGATTACTGGCCTTGGGTAATCCGCCAGCTGCAGGGGGTGGAGGTGGAGGAGGACCACCGCCAGCCACAGGAGGCGGAGGTGGTGGTGGTGGTGGTGGAGGGGGGGGAGGAGGCATGGTGCAGGTAACTGTCAGCGGGCTAAGTTACTTAGTGAGAGAAGAGAAGGATGCAAGAATGGCCAAGATAAGAAATGGAGGAAGGAATATTAACTCCTATTGCAGTACAGCCTCAGCATAAGGTATTTATCATCATATAAAAAAAAATATCCATTTGTCAATATAAGAGTGAAAGCGTAGTCATTAGAGAGTGGTAAGTGATATTACCTGGAAGATAATGGGGCTTCCATGCAGGGTTTAGCGCCACGGGCTTAGGTAAGGCACTTGAATCGCTAACTTAGTTTCCCTAGTTGGAGACTGACACTTTGACATGATTGACATCGCCCTTTATATCGTAAGACATGAATTTAAAGGCAAACTATATGTAAGTTGGGTTATGCTTCTTCTCTAGTGATGAAGTGCATTCCACTTCAAGCTCCAAGAAGGGTCCGTGGCTCAGTGTGTCAACTCTGCCAGTTTTCGAAATCAATTCCGCACCGCGAAAGAGCTGCTGTTCACATCCAGTCAACTGGTGTCTCTACGAGATTCAACACCCTACTCCCAAATGCCGGACACCAAAAGCGGAGTTTCAGATCGGTTTTCAATCTGCACAATGGAATTTCACGGAGATTTGCGTCAGGTGGAACATATGCGAAGCCTCACGGTGACCCGGAGGCCATGTTAAAGATGGTCTTTAAAGAATACCAGACCATGATAGCTTCTCCCCGCGTCCCTTCAGATGAAGCCGTGGTACAATTCCTGCAGCGCTGCGGCGAGGTTGTGAAAATAGCACTCTCCAAAAATTATGACACAGTTTTCTCTTTGGCTACGAATAGTGATACCAATGCCACCTCATCTCTCCTTGATCTCGACGTTGAAGACAGAGGCAATGGAACTGGAACTGGAACTGGAACAATATCCGCGCCACAAACACTCCCCAAGCAATCACCAAAATCGTCCAAAACGTCAAATTTTCAATCGCGGATGGCAACTGAGATATCCTCATTGCTGAATGATCTTCTCCGCAACCCCAAAATTTTTATCTCCCCCGAAGTCCTTCGCTACTACACCCTACTTCAAGCCCAGCTCAAGGAAGCTGACCACTTCCCCGAAATATTCTCACTCTATGCTACGAAACCGGTACCAAACGATAACGGTTCTACCATCACCTACCACACCCCAAACCCCAAGACAGTTAAAAGCGCAATACCCAAAGACCTCGCAAACATTGCCCTCGATGTCGCTATTGAGAAGAAAAACCTAGCCCTCTGCCTCGCAATCATAGATGAATCTTTCTGCAAACCAGCCTTCTACCGATCGAAGTTCTTCCGCAAAGCTGCGCTGCCACTGGCAGGCCTAGCCACCGCCCCGACGGCAGCGTATGCAGCGGCCTTATACATCTCCACACTCCAATCAGCCATGGATCCCAATACCGCTCTCTGGCTTTCCTTTTCGGCCATTCTTGCCTATGTAGGTTTCACGTCTTCCATTGGTATGGTTGCGATTACCACTGCCAATGATCAGATGATGCGCGTGGTGTGGATACCTGGCATGCCATTGCGGCAGCGTTGGCTGCGTGAGGAGGAGCGTGCGGCTATGGATAAGGTTGCGGTGGCGTGGGGATTTAAGGATCCGATGAGGATTGGGGAGGAGGAAGGGGAGGAGTGGGAGAGTCTGAGGGAGTTTCTTGGCATGCGGGGGATGATTTTGGACAAGACGGATCTGATGGATGGGATGGAGTGAGGGAGGATAAGAATCCTATTTTATGGGAAATAGTCACTGACTGTACACTATGTAAATATAATTCGTTTTATCATTTTTAGATGAAATAATTTTCCTTCAGTAAGGGCTCTACTCAACATGGGATTGAGGAAAAACAGGAAAGTGAGAATCCTATGCTCGAAGCTAAGGAATACAAGTGGAATTTTCAGGTTGTTAATGTTCATGTTTCGTTACTGTATATTTTGCAAAGACCTAATTAAGACCCAGATCGACGGCTCTATTGGCCTGCAACATCCCAGGGACAGAAGTATAAAAACGAGAAATACTTTTTAATACAATCTCTTGGGGGGAGACATGGAGGCCTTGATCGTCAAGCTGCCAACGTTCTGCCATCCCTTCTTCAACAAACTGACGAGGTAGTTGATGGCCAACATGATGTTGGAGATCAGCTCATCCTCGGTCATTCCGACGTTTCCAACGGCAACACCAAGACACAGAACCTTCTTCAGCTGGAACTTGATGGTGGACTTCACATCATTGATCTTGTTGCCGAGATCTTCGGCGTGGGAGACTGGGGTGGGAAATTTACCGGCTATAACAGAGCAGAAGAAAGGAGAAGGCTTGTCAGCTATACGCAACAAGTGGTGTAGAGGTTTGAAAGCGTTAGAACGAACCCTTGGAGAGACCAGGTCCCAAAAGGCGAGGAACCATCTTGATGATGCTGTCGGAGGCGATGAAGGCATCGTACTTGCGGGCCAGCTTCTTAATGAGCTTTTTGTTCTTGTTCAGCTTCTTCAAGTCCTCCGTGGACATGGAGTCGACGCCGAGGTGCTTGGCACGATCGATATCATGCTGGTCGCCGAGAACACTGTTTCAATCGCACTACAAGTCAGAACACGTTACCCGTCTACCACGTAATTATAATTGCAATTCGCTTTTGATCCGCTGATGAGAAAATAGGGTTATTGGGCGACGCACCAGATGCTCATTCCCGGGCGGGGAATGGCAGGCAGCTTGATGGTGCCGGAGAAACGCTTGTCACGCTGGGGATCATAGTTCTTCAGGCCGATCTGGAGCTCGACGGTCTCGAGGAAATTTCTCTTTTTCTCGTTCAGGGAGAAATCGAGGAGTTGTTGGACATTTTGGCGCACTCCGGCTGTGTTGCGAAAATGACCTGTTAACTCATATTCCATCTCCAAGACGTGTCTCATGCACGGAGATGTCATCACCATTCAAAACTTACCGACTGTGATTTTCGACATGATGGAGACAGTCTTCCAGAAGAACGAATTCTTATGGTGAGGATTTGCGCTTGGGGAACAAGAGGATCTTGGAGGTTGTGTAAAAATGCTGTTGAAGTTGAAATATCGAGTTTGCAAGTGTGGAGCGTCTAGCCTCATTGGGTTTGGTATAGCCCTAATCGGATTTAATATTTATTTGTCACGTGATATATCGATATGCTCATAGAATTTCGAAGCTGAATTCAACCAGGAACTCACTTAAACACCGAAGCAGAAAACTACCAATATGATCTGGCTTGCCCCTAATATCAGGTCGGAAAACCTGAGCCACATAATTGTCATTGGCGGAACTGCTGCTATACCACATTGTCACCTGCTCTCAACTTCCCGATTAACTACATCTCACACCCACACTTAGCTACCGATTTGCATTTCCCCATATCCACCAATACTGACAGTCAATAGAAACGTGCAATCAAATAAGGCTGACGTTCATTAATGTACAATATGCTATATCAATCCATAATTTCTCTCACCAAGTCAATTAAGGATAAAGGCAGACAAAACGTGGGTTGTTAGACGTTATAGCCTTCAGTAGGCAACGAAAAAGGAAATATTCCAAAGCACACTCGTCTCTTTCCGCCGGGATCTCTCTCACTTTATGTGGAGCAATTTAGTTGAGGGCTCATTCATCGCAAGAAGCGAGTAATACCTGGGGTCAGCTTGTAACTTGAGATACCAGTTCTGAAATGAGCCTAACCGGAGTAAGAGATCTCGATCATAGCTCCCTCAACATAGTTTGCCCATCCAGGATACTAATAATGTTAGCCTATCCCCTTTTGCAACACAATGGAGCGAAGTCAACTCACGATAGCTCTAGCCCAAAGAAATATCACATCGCCAGGCTGTAAGGCACGGATAAACCCTTCCCCAGACCCACTACCAGAATCCTCCACGACTTCTTCTTTCTGATGTTTCCTATCCACCGTCCATACAATTTCACGAATCTGCGTATCACGTGTTGCAACACTATTCTTCTGAACAGGCCAAGTCAACACTCTCCCATTCCCATCTTTCACAAAGTTCCACCCGACTGGTCGATAGGCGTCAGAGTATTCCGCGGGTGTTGCATACTTGTCCATCGGACCTAAATCTGGTGGTGGCTCTAACTTATCACTCAAGTGATGTAAACGACGAAGTATCTTTGCTTCAAACCAGGAGAAGGAAGAATTGTACGTTCCTAGATGCAGTCCATGTCAAAATTTTCCGACCTAGCACAGCTCGCGTTTTATTACTTCTTCTTAAGATAAAATTGAAAGGAAGAACTCCATACCTTCTGTCCCCAACTCCCCACCCCATCCCTGATCATGGCTAGCGATTTCAAATCTCACAGACTCAAGCTTCAAATCCCTCAATTCCAGTCCATCTTGCTTCAACTCCCTGATTTGAGGCCCTCTCAGAACCAACCCATATACTCCTGCGCCACGTGAAGAGACGCTAAAAGCGCTACTGGGGTCTAAAGTAACCACATCTCTTACTGAATAGTCCGCATAATTGATAATTATGTCTGCAATCTCCGTGGGTAGCGCAGGGTTGGTCGACTTAAGGAGGCCACGGACAAGGCCGACATCGGTTGGGGACGGGGAATAAGGAGTTGTAACCGGAGTGGATATGTCCGTAGGGGATCCAGCGAGGCTTCTGGAGGGGGATCCAGAAGAACCTGATTCGGATGAAGATCTATGCGGAGACGCTGGGACGAGGCCGAGGGATCGTCCTATAAATGATAACATTGTATCTGGAGCAATTCTAACTTCGATGATCACAAATAAAATACCCTCCTGACTGGCAGATCTGCAGTGGCAGGACAGGTGCGACGGTAAATCGAATCTAATTGCTCGTATAAGGGATATGTTGATGAAGGGTTCGTTCTCCTGGCTATGCTATGTTAGGTGTGTCATTTAGACAAGAGAATAAATACAAGTCCGCATGTCCAAAGGCAATCATGCTTTTACTTACAGAGTATGTTAGTCTGCTGCCTGAATTAAATCAGAACAATTAAGACTTAAATTTTGAATATTTAGCAAAGATTCATAGTTAAAAAAATAGTTCTCCAAGATGCGACTGTCAGGCTACAAAAGTAAAGAGGTTAGAGGCAGCTATGAGTAGATATGATGTCAGCGATACTTCGGCTAGTTAGTAAGTTACTCGGCGACATTGTTCCATGACGCTAATTTAGAATGGGAAATTACCTGTTTGTGTTTGTCTTGTTTGTCTTAGAGGTAAGTTTTTGTTGGCGCTGTGATCATGTGATTCGTTATTTTACACTGTTTTGTTCAAAATGGAATGGCTAAAAATTCCACGAACTCACAATGACCTTGTCTCAACATCCATCAGAATTCTTCATTCCTCTGTGACTGTCTTATGAAGATCATGAACGACTGTTCAGGTAATAACACAGAAACCATTTGTTGACAACCCTATTCTCTTACAGTTGAGTTGAAGTCATGTGAGTTCGTGGCAATTTAGCAATTCATTTTCAACACGTCCATCCACTCCATTCAAACACTTAATAACTCCATTTCTCGCCCGTTTCAATCTCGAGGGACGCTCAAGCTTCCTCTGTCTTCGCTAGTTCCCCAAGGGTTGTAGCCAGAACTTCCCTATTTAGAACTAGCTTCTGGCTCTCTACAGGAATCACGCAGGCGTTGACCCAGGCAACTGTTGTAGACTGAAATCATGAGGTGGAGGTGAGGAATGGCATCAACCTCCCAGAGTACTACAACGTACGATCTTATTCAAGCTGTCATCATTTTGTACTGCAGTCTCCTCAAAAGCCAAAACAACAAAGCTTTCACCCTTTGACAGGTAACAGCTCTACAAGCCTTCCCATTAACACCTGAGCAGTCATGACGCCATGAGCAGCTATGAGGGCAGGATCATCTGAAAGGAATCTAAACCCACATGCCTCATAGAGTTTCTGGGCGGATACATTCTCCGCCTCCACCCAGAGCCCTATATTTGCCCTTGACGCACGCATCGAATTCGCTTCCACCCGCGCAGCCTCAACACTCGTTTCAATAAGTTTACGACCAACCCCCTGTCTTCTCGCCTCAGGCAGAACAAACATGGAAACAGCTATATAAGCAGCCTCCGAGTCGACAATTGATAGTGGGTCTGCTGCTTCGGTGTGGCTTGCTGGTTGCAGAAATGGATTCCATAGTGTCTGGGACTCGGAGCCGTCTGCGGGGAGTGCTTTGGGCCCAAGTAGCACTATCATTCCTAGCCATTCGTTCTGAGAGACATGTTCGATCTCACTAATCTCTGCGCTGTCTGCTTCCGTGCGGATCGCGACAAACGTGTTGGAGAGTGGATTCCGAAGGCGTTGAACCCAGGTTGCGTCGTTGAACTTCGACTCTCTGTCGTATGTCGACAAGAACGCTTGAGGGTCCTCCTTTAGTGCACGGAGGCGTGCAGCTTTGTAGAGTTGGCATAAACGCTCTCCGAAGGTCGGTGAAGGCCACTCTCGAGGGACATGGATCACTTTTGTTTCTGATGCCATTTCCCTGGGCGAGGATCTAAGGATTCCGACTATCTCTTCACGGTATGAAGATGAGGACAAAGTAACGCTGCTAAAGTTGACTATTCAATGATTGATTGCCTCTTTTATTTTTGGTTAAAAGCCCCAGTCGCAACACTTTTCCCTGCATAGAAGGCGTGTATGTTTTTGGCAGGATAAAAGTATCCCATTTTGCCCTGAGTCATCGTCCGCTGGCGGTGGAGTTACCGAGATCACGTGGATTGCCTACAAATCGACAGAAGCTGCACACCAACTATGAAGGTCGGTGTGCAATAGTTGCTCCATAAACTCGGATCGATGACACCCCTCAGAGTAGGGACGGAAATGATGATTTGGATATACTGAAAAACCTCAACGGTATCTCCCTCGTTGTTGTTTCTTCATACACCGAGGCACCGCGAATACATCACTCACATGATTTTGCCGGCTTTGAAATCTGAAGTGAAAGATGAATCAATTGAGGGATCATCCTCAACTTAAATTGCAACGTCATGCATTTTTCTATGATTCCACCCTGTCTCTGGAAAGAAATATCTAATACAGGAATTACACACTCTTCTAGAGGGTACCCGTAACCCTATATTTTCTTCTTCTGACGGAAGCCGATTTGCTTTACCATTAACATAAAGTTATGCACCATTCCAAGTTTTAGATGGAATGCGCACTTTCATTGGATTTGCTCTATTACCGTCATCATTTATTCTCTTAATCTCCTCTATTTTTCATCTATCACCTCAAGATTTATATCCATGCCATTTCGATCACATTCTTAAAGAATAGTTTGGAGATATCAAGCGTTCTTTACGGGTATGAAGCAGTAGAAATAGAGGAACAATTGATATGATCAAATAAAAATTCTTGTCAAATACTACATGCTTCTCCGTATACGTTAAAAGCTTTTCTTCATTCCTTCTCCTCGTCAAACTTCGAACTTGGGTAAGTCAATCTAGCACGAAAGGGGTAAAGAAGGTGCCAAGTCCCGGAAACATCTGGCTCATTGTTCTGATTCTCTGGGAAGCCCAACATCATATGGCATCATCAGCTACCCGTTGGACAATCTCAAGACCCACATGACTACGTTTCGAAATAGTCGATGGGATCCAAGACACCAGAGAATCGTCGTTGAGGTCCGAATGGCATGGGAATAAATAATATTACTTTTGGATTTCTGGTAACTTTGATACTTGAGCAGAGTCGCCAACACGCGATACAAATGCTGTCGTCAATCCTCCCAGGCTGGCCTCAGCAAAGAGGCTGCTTCATGGTTCGCCCGAAGGGGAAGATGAGGACGGGGAGGATGAGGACAACGACAAGATTGGAGCTGACCTGAAATCTAACAGTCAGGCCAAGGACAGTACGCCTTAGAATTAATATCTCTTGGTTAAAAACTTGAAACCAATCCCAGAAGGCAAGAGAATGAAAAGAAAGAACAACAAAAAGAAGAAATGAAAGTAATTGGGTGGACAGCAGACTGCTCCTCCAAGGGTTGTGCTCGCGAGCCTTTTTCATGATCAGCGATATCCAGTGGGCGAGATCGTCGAATATGCGGGCGGCCATGACAATCTTCGACGCAACACTGCTGAAGAATTGTTACCTGTCTGTCCTGGACAACATGGATGATGAGTTCCTGAATGACTATTGCAAATCTGCTGAAGTTCACTGCCAAGTCCGTCAGTATGCTCGGACAATCGCAAAACTCGGAATCTCCATGAGCAAGCTTGCCCAAGAGATTGAAGATGGCATTCGGGCACTGACTAACCACCAAGGTATTGAGACCGGAGATGCCCTCAAGGCCGTCCTGGGATTTCCGACTGGGCTCTGCTTGACTAATATAGGTGCTCACTAGACTCCCAATTCTGGAGCAAAGGAGGTTCTCTAGTTCGACGATGTCTTGTAAGTGGATTTCGGGGTTCATGTCAGTGACAGGATTGTCGATAGTGCTTTTCTTGTTGCTTTCAATCGGTAAGCAAATATGCTCCTTATAACGTTATGCAAAGCTAAAATAAACGCTCAGGAAACTGGTATTGATTCCTGCATAGCCGAAATCAGTGAAAAAAATCCAAGAGGTAATGGAGAGTTTCAAAGTCGAGCTTAACGGAAAGACTATCCCCGTCAAAGCTGTTCGAAACATCAGCGGCCATAACATCTTACGCTACAAGATCCATGGTGACAAACAAGTACCTTTCGTCAAAATGCAAATATGGAAGAAGGTGATGTATTCGCCATCGAAACCTTCGGCACCACGGGCAAGGGTTATCTCAGAGATGATGTAGGAGTCTGCGGCTACGGCTGCAATGAGCATGCTAGCGCTGCTAGGCTTCATAATAACTTTGCCAAGTCACTGCTCGAAATCATCGATGATAATTTCGGCACTCTTGTCTTCTCCAGGCGGTCCCTTGAGTATAGAGGAGTGAAAAACTACCACCTAGGCATAAGATCACTTGACTCGAATGGCATTGTTGAGTCCTATGCACCGATGGTGATGTTCCTGGCTCTTATGTCGCGCAGTTTGAAGATGTTAGCTACCATGTTACCATCCACGAAGTCAGATAAGTCAATTTTCACTAACAAAATCATTTAAATAGACTGTCCTACTGCGGCCCAATTGCAAGGAAGTAATCTCTCGAGGGGATGATTATTGAGGGAAATGGGAAATCAGGAGATTAAATATTCTCGGGGTAATTGTAATTATTGATTCTTTTTATCCTTGACTTCAACCGCCAAAGGATGAGTTAGGAACAGCGCTGCAAACACGTCGTTCTTTTAGAATATCCTACGCTGATGGCGATCCTTTAAACTGCAAAATACTAAGAACTGAACATCACCCTCTCTCATTGTCTCAAGATGCTGCCATGTGAAACTTTGGCGCTCTCGTTCTTTGGCCGATATCTACCATTTATGTAATTCCATGAGAAGAAAGGTGATACGAGGCCTGACTGATACATGAGGATTATCTACAAAAAATAGGGGAAGGACAACTTGTACTTCAAACGCCCTTTTTCCCAAGCTCGTTCAACCACCACCGAGTCGGCCACCTTTCATCTCAACAACATTTACCAAATTATTCATGTCAGCCACCTCTAGCAAATAAAATGTACGAAATCAAGCAAATTTTAAATTTTCAACCCATTTCTAAAACATATGACATTTTTCAAAATACTTTAACAGGCATACTTCATAATCGAATTTTACATATATACAATCAAACTGTCAAAAACTTACCTCTACAAAGCAGATTCTCTAGTTTAATGAATAATATTCATGAATGAGAGAGAACAGTCTTTTCTTAAATCACAATTATATAAGAGATGACTAGTTCTGTGGCGTTCCGCCCCTATTATTATCTGTGGTGTTCCGCCCCTATTCTTCCGCCCCTCCCTATATTAGTATCCGCTCTCTATTCGCCCCTCCCTAATCCACTCAGAGGCCCCAATCTTTCCTATACTTCCTATCCTATGCGATCGCTCCTACCATATAGAGCAATTATAGTGTGTATATATAGCAGGGCATCTGCCCATCTTATTAGAAGAGAATCAGACATGATTTATCCTACCTATTTGATTGCTTGTACATATCAAATTGGTAGCATGTCCATGTCTCTCTAAAAGGTCCAAGATTCGCTGAATCAATCAAGGTCCAAGATCTGCTAAATCAGTCACCCTAAATCATAATCACTAGTCCAATCACCCTAAAAAAAAAACATTAGCTATGGTATCATCCTCTGAGTCAGGCCTTGATCACCTTCAAATAACTGTCTTAACTGCCTCATAAAGTGCCAAAGATAAATGTCCTTGTCATTTGAACATTCTTGTCATTTTGATGGCTTACAAATCCTCAACAAGACCAGAGGGTGCTGGGTTAGCCAGCAAGGAGCAAGGCACTGATGAGGACACTCACCACAGCAGTTCCCACCAATGCACACAGACATCTACAAAAAAGTACATGATAGCAATTGCAGAAGTGTGAAGAAACAAGAGCAGTCAATACACAGAATTATGACTGTTGATCACTCTCTATGACTGTCTCAAGATGAAGAGGTTGCTATCCACTGTCTCTGCAAGGTGATACAATAAGATGAGTGCAACAATGCAGGAAATCCCAGTAGCAGAATGAACAACCATCTTTCATCAGTGAATCCAGATGTTCAGAACAGAAGTCACTAAGCATATCAGAGATCAGAGGTCTATCACTTCTGTCTTTGCAAATTTCAGTCACTCAGTTGCAGAAGATGATCACTGCAATGAGAAAGTGATACTGAACATCATAGAGAAGCTCAAAGAGCTCAATGTATGATTGAAGGAGCAAGAGAACAGGTTGAAAGACCTTGATATATAGTTAAAGAAGTGAGAGAACTGGATGATGAACCTGAAATCCTGGCTCTGTACCCATGAGTCTCTTCTCGATGAGTGAGAGAAGGAACTAATCATTTATGAGATCTGTTCAGGGTACATCAGCATCACCTGCTCATTCATGACAAGACTGGGTCTAAGAGGAGTCAATCAAGAAGTGTTAAAAGTAACAAGTTATCTGTGAGAGTCAATTTTACATGCCTGAGTTAATCTAGAGTGTGATAGAATTGCCAGTAAAAAGTATTACACATATAATGTGAAAGACAATAGAATAAGACAGAATAATCAACTTACTACTGAGAGGTATAATCAATTCACATTCTTAATAACAAGTACTTAAGATGGAATCACTATCTTTTTATATGACTAGAAGCAGTCAGTGAGGCTCTGAGCAGCAGATCTCATGCTTTACAACTCAGATAAGATAGATATGATCACTTTTACATTGAGATTAGAGTTCATAATTACTCTGAAAGAGAAGATGACAGTTCTCAAAGTGGTTCTTCTATGTCTCAAGAAGAGAGCTCTGAAGTGACATAATGAGCTATTGTCTGAATGTCAGAATAAGATGACAGTGTTGCTTGTGATAACAGTTGATGAGCTACAGAGTGAGTTTCAGCTTTCAGAAGAGAAGATTTGAAACTGAGTGCAGAAATTGCAATTCTCATTTAATAAAATAAGTGAGCTATTACTCACTGTATACATCATTTACAATATCACTCTTCTATAAGCAGTAGTGATTTCTGATCAGATCATGATCAAGCATTTTTTGCAGGAGAAATTGAAGAGCAGTCTAGTAATGATCACTCTTCTTATCTTGATGAAATGCCTAGATGGTTTTTGCAAGCATATATATGATAATGAGCTAGCTGCTAGATATATCTGTAGAGATCAATGACAGCAACTTCTCAAATATGAAAGAGTGAGATATTGAATTGAGAATAGACCTCTTATATTTCATCAGCACAACTGCACAAAGAATAAAAAAAAAAGAGAGATGAAAAGAAAGAATTATGAACTTAATTATAATAACTGACAAAAGAAAATCTGAAATAGCATATCAAAATGAATAGAGAAAAAGCATCTGAATCTTTGTTCAAAGATATTCTGTCTTTATTATTATCTGTGATATTCTGCTTCTATTTTTCCATCTCTTTCTATATTAGTATCCACTCTCTATTTGCCTCTTTCTAATCCACTTAGAGGTCTCAACCTTTTCTATATTTTCTATTTTATATGATCACTTCTATCATATAGAGTGATTATAGTGTGTATATATAGCAGGGCATCTGCTCATCTTATTAGAAGAGAATCAGACATGATTTATCCTATCTATTCAATTGCTTATACGCATCAAGTTCACTACTTGTGAAGTATAGATTCTAATATTATAGAAGTTAATCAAGTCAATAGATTTATTCAATAGCATTGCGAATTAAAGAATGAGAAGATTTCTACATAAATATAACTACTTATGAGCTTTATATGAGAATTTAAAGCTCTGATATAAGTGATTTAAATTGATGAATAGTACTATAAAATGTGATATTTTGCTAACAAATATATACAATTTTAAATAAAATTGATTTTTAGAAAGAGTCATCTCAGTAGCTTTAGTAGTAATTAAAGCTAAGAGAGAGAGTAAATCAGTTTTTATACAGTTAGAAAATAGAAAAGAGCAACTGTGATGAAAAGAGCTAATGCTACAGACTGAGCTTCATTTCTTACAATTATAATAAAGGATAAGCTTTATTAAAGCGTGTATAATTTACTGTCAGTAACCAATATTAGTGATTGAAACTAAACTACAAATAAGCTTAATTTAAAATGACTATTAGAGATATTCTATAGATATTGTTGAGACTCAAACAGTGTAATAATAAATATAAAATAAATATAAAATGTTAATTGCAAGTAAATATAACAGTCATATTATAACTGAATTTAATAAAATGTGCTTGAATCATAATATTAATATCTTATATATATCTTCTCGTTTAATGCAGTTGTTAGATATTAACGACTTCTTATCATTAAAAAGAGCACATTGCAAGAAAATAAAGCAAAGCATAAGATTAAAGGTCAATTATTGATATCAAAAAACTCCAGTCAACTATATAGAGTAATTTCAAAATGGGAAGGTGGCCGACCTGGTCGTGAATTAAGTTAACTGGATAACTCAGAAGTTCGTTTAAAGTGTGTGGATGAGGCATGCGGTTGGACACACAGCAACTTTTTCTCTGGTTAATCATGTTTCGACTAAAATTGCTGATTGACGTATTCCTACAAAAGATGTTTCCTTCATCTAGTTATGGCCTGACAAACAATATTGAAGCATCACATGACCCTGTGAGCGAGTCCGTGGGCGTTGAATCCACAAATGCGGACCTCCAAGAAAGCTCCGTTCATTTGTAGCCTGACACACAGACATGGGCTATAAACCAACCAGCCGCGTCGTTAGCGAGCCACAGCTGATGATCAATTCCTGGGGTTAGCTTCATGGGAGAGCCTTGTGAGTGGTCACGGGTAGCGCCCGCGCCTTTCATTCTTGTGCCGAATACGGTTTATGCTATTAAATGGAATATATATTGGGAACGTAGTCTCGAAACTCATAGTTTTTGCGTCCAATGTTGACGATACGGAGTAGTGAAACTCGAGACGGCTAACATGGCAACACGAGGAGATACACAAAACAACGACTCTAACAACGATAACAGCTCCGCGAGCAGGACGGATGACAACGGAGTCGCACGCGAGCTTACGGCGACATACTATTCCAGCTTCCCCAACAGGTCAAATTTGCGGAATGCCTTTCGAAACCTTGATAATCCCATCCACTTTGCGGAATGTCGGGGTTGTTTGGTAGACGAAGCAACACGAAACTTCGTAGTCGATTTCGGGAACGATGAGGCGTATGCGGCCTTTGATCTGGATGAGCAAGACTTTGCTGCGCTTTTGAGCTCGCCTGCATGTTCATGTTTTTGATTTACTTCTACTACCCCTTTTTCTCTGTCTACCTATGTATTGTTCTATTAACTTTTACCGGCTGTGACTTACTCGATGGAATTAGAGGCCCAAATCGCTCGAGACGAGATGGATGTAAGTTGACACCGTCAAGCATATATAGATCCTTTTTATATGAACCTTGACATGACTGACTGGACTTATCACAGTAATATATGGTCACCTGAACTTCAACGGGAGGTAGCCCAGGTACGGTGAGATAGCTAATTTTAAGGCCGTGGGAAAAAATAAATAAATAAAAATAAAAAAAATATGATGGCACGTAACCCAGGGCTTATATCTTTCCTTCAGACCGTAACGAGCGACTATGGAGTTTCAGCACGTCTCCAAGCAATGATGGTTTCGGAACCTGATACCTCCCCCAGCAACCCAGCAGACTCTGTCAATCGCCCACCCTTAAGCAAAACAGAGCCTGAGCTAGAAAGAAAATCCATGCGATCTTCCCCAGAAGACCTGGAGCGAGGGCATCAGCTTGCGGGCCTCCAACGGGTAGAAACGGCATTTTCTTCGCTCGACGGAGCCGGGTTTAGCAAAATTTCACTCGCCCAGGTCGTCAATAAGATATGGCATTTTTCGTCGGTGGATTATGGGCAGAAATGTATGAAAAAACAGGCCTGTCATATATCTCGTCAACGATGTTAAGATGTTCAACATCCCAGAAAATGCTGATAAGCCAAATTAGATCTCTGTTTGGGGTATAATTCGCTTCATGTGGCTTCCGGTGTTCATTTTGGAACTTTGCCGGGAAAACCGGATGGTAAAAGGGTCTGGACATGGCTCCTAATATGTGATGATGGTTTGTTCATATTTCAGACTTCCTCCCGGCTAAATTCTTCTCCCACTTTTGATTGCCAACGTCCGAAACCTGACATGTGTGCTACAGGAACCGTAATATCGATTCATGAAAATCCATTTCCCTGCCCAAGTGAAATGCCCCAGAAACAGCGGCAGAAAGCTCTCGAGGTAATTCGACGTAATACAAATTTAGTATTTTCTGGAATATCATCGCAGCATATTGCTAGCGAACATAGCAATCCGCTAATGACTACGTATGTGCGGAATTTTCCGAATGAGACGGGCACAGCAGCAGTTAAGCCTGGAGAAGGCCCTAGCTTGCTCTTCTACTATCTATTTGACAATTGGCCCGCAAACTATAATCTAGTTGTTGGGAGGGAGCATTCGTACAACGCTGCTCTTGATAGTTTAGTAAGTGACTATATTTTTATTCAAGAAACCGCGTGAATTCCTCATTTCTGCTAATGACCAGAGTAGAGAAAACGTATGCTGGAACGAGCTGAGGTTGGGCTAATTGACGAGCTGCACACGCTTGGCAGGCAGCTCGCAGTCCTCCAACGGCTCTATCAGAGCTATGACTTGATTGTGAATCGCATTCTTAAAAGGCAGCGTTTGCTTCGAGAGGAGGTTCGCATCTCCCAGTCTGGACCCGGTCTCCACGACCACCACAATCATCAGAGTCAACAATATCATGGTGGCAGCCCTTTTGGGTTGGATTTCCTTAATCGAGCAAATACCTCAAGATCGATGGCGTTTGACGAGACGAATCCGACGGACCTGGGTGGCGTCCAGCTCAGTTCTGCGGCCATTGGCCGCTTCGAACGTCTTCTTGATCGGATTAGGCTGTACGCCTTAAGCGAAATTGATGGGTGCTTGACTGAAAAGGAGTCAATGACGTTCATGGTAAACCTGTCATAAAGCTCCCCATGTCTGCACCATCTTCTGGGATCGTACTAGCTGACACATTTTTAGGTCTTCAATTTAATCGCCGTCAAAGACTCACAGGCAGTCGAAAGGTTGACTCGAACTACAATACTCATAGCCAAGGCAACCGTTTTATTTCTCCCTGTGACTCTGATGACTGGATATTTCTCGACGCAGATCAAGGAGCTTGAAGGTGTATATACGGTTAAACAGTATTGGGTTTCCTTTGCAGTGCTCCTGGCGCTGTCCGCAATAGTTCTCGCAGTGTATGGGTGGGCCACTGATACAGTGGAAGGCAAGACCATCTATGTGTCCTTTGCAAAGAGTTTTTATCGTTCTTCTGCAGCAGCTTTGGGGAGAAAGAAACACAAGGTTAAATAGGTGGATTTTGTTGATAAGATATTTTCTTTTTCGTTTTCTTTGAATTTTTTTACCAATTTTGTAGAAGTTTGGGGTGTTTTATATCGAGAACTGGAATTTAAATTTTTTGGACCGAGTAATAACTATATGCGATGCGATGCCAGGATTGAGGATTGGCATTGTCTTGCTTTGCATGGTTGAGGCCGGCGTATCCTGCCTTTCCAAAGCAAGCAAGGTGGAGCCATATAATGGGCATATATATGGTCTTGTTGTTTCTCAGCTTTGCTCTGGTGTTTGGTGCAGACAGAGATTCTATGATGAAAACCTTAAATATAATTAATATAGCAGGTGCCGGATTTTCATTGTGTGTCTGTGGCAATTCACTATTGTCCTTTGATCCAGTAACTAAAGTGATATTAATTGTCAGCTGTAGGCTTGTCGCTTCGGATTTTGGTTCTGTGTTTCTTCCTTTGTAGTGGAGGAATTCTGGAGCCTTGTTTTTGGAATTCCATGGTTGTTTAGCTTCCTAAGGAGGATATGTGTCCTTTTCTGTAGCGCAAACAGTGCCCGATTTAGGCAGACGGAATGGATGGTATAAAACATGCAACATAACTAATCACCTGTGACTAGCTATAGCATTCAAATCACATATCGCTTTATATCTCTGATATCTCCAGATCCATATCCCCAGACATATATTCCGTTCCTAAATCGTTATTGAAATCGTTTCGGTTGTTCGTTGGGGCGATTGGGCTCAGGTCACGTTATCTGGCTGACAAAGGCTACGCTACGCTTACCGCCGAATTCCTCAATCTGGACGGTGCTGCCAAAAATTCGCACCTCTCATCCAGCTCGCTGCTCTCCGTAACCTCGTCCCCATCGACTGCTGGCTTGTTCCATCTCCATCTCGTTCGCCTATTCGCTCTTCGACCTGTTCATAGTCTCCAGTGAGTCTCAATTCCCCAACCCCTTCCATCCCCACCTTTTCCGCTCTTAGTTACCTAGGACAACCGTGGCTCTCTTCCCTCCGCCGCACAACTTTTGCATCCACCTTTTACCCCAGCACTATCCTCAGACGTGCTGCCTCCCGAGATGCTTGATACGCCCAAAGCCCGCTATCTAACCACAGTGCATACTGCGTTCGGTTTGCTAGAACTCAGCTAACTCGCTTTTCTGGTTCCTTGACTGTAGTCCTCTCTCTACCCTTCTGTTTTGCCCTGTTAGATACTCCCCCAACACCGCCAACATGGGTATGACATTTTCGAAACTATTTGATAGAATATGGGGGAAAAAGGAAATGAGAATTCTCATGGTTGGCCTCGATGCTGCCGGAAAGACCACAATCCTGTACAAGTTGAAACTTGGCGAAATCGTCACAACAATCCCTACCATCGGTGAGTTCGATCCTATCCCGTGCCCAACTTCAAACGGTCCCCTAAGGAAAAGCAAAAAGAATGAAATAAAATAAAAAGGACTTCAAAATCACGTTTAGGGAGAATATCGAATGGTGGAATTTCCAGTTTTTGTTTTGTTAATATTTGCCTATGCAGGATTTAACGTCGAGACTGTCGAATATAAGAACATCCAATTTACCGTGTGGGACGTGGGTGGACAGGACAAGATCAGACCCCTGTGGAGGCACTACTTCCAAAATACCCAAGGTATCATTTTCGTGGTTGACAGCAACGATCGTGACCGTGTCGTCGAGGCTCGAGAGGAGTTGCAACGAATGCTCAACGAGGATGAACTCCGTGATGCCCTACTCCTGGTCTTCGCCAACAAGCAAGATCTTCCGGTATGTCTCATTCATTCAACAGTGGGATTTTAAGACTTCTTATGAACATATGCTGATATATCGATTGTGTTTGTAGAACGCGATGAGCCCTGCTGAAATCACCCAACAGCTCGGCCTGCAGAGCTTGACACGACGCGCTTGGGTAAGTCAATCCCCATCTCAAAAATCTATGGTTATAATGATTGTCTGCTAATGCCTCTTGTTTCCCTTTCAGTATATTCAATCCACCTGTGCTACAACTGGTGACGGTCTTTATGAAGGTCTTGAGTGGTTGGCAAATGCGCTAAAGAAGGCGGGTCATGAGTAAACGCTTAAATGAATTGATGTGGAAATAAACCAAACTCCCCCTCTTTTATCCTCTTCCCCCACCATTCTCCCGCTTCCCTAACCTCTCCAATATACCTGGGAAATTATGCGTTGCGTGTGCTGTGTGCCGTATCCGGAGTGCATGCAGAAGATATATTTTATGGGCTTGTGGACATGTTCTGATAGGTACTAACGAAGGACAAAAAAAATTTCCTTATTCCTTCCGTGCTGGTGTCATTATTTCTATCTCTCTCTCTTCCCGCTCATGTCACTACGCACGCGTACATTATTTTGCAAATCTTTTGTGTGTGATGCTGTTCTTGTTTTAAAGGTTCCTTTTCCCATTTTTATCTACACTTTATATTTTCTATCCCGTTGCCCGTTTTATCGTGTCGTATTCTATCCTATTCTACGCCTTTTTCCGTTGTTTATTGAAGCCCTGCATTTAATTCCGTTAATACACTTGTTTTGCTCTTCTCTATTTTGTCCGTCAAAGTAAAATGGTGAAGTTTCGCCTGCATGTCCAGTGCGGTTAAACAAACCTCGAGTGAATCCAAGAGCAGTTGCTCGTCTTGGATTTACCTTACCCCGATGTGTTCGGGGGACGTGAACAATCTTTGCGCCTCGTATTTCTAAACCGCATAGTTACATTTCAACTGTCATTTGCATCCCTGCTTTGTCCTCCAGGGGGTTAAAAATAAATAGTGAATTAATAGTTCTACGACATGCACCAAACTAACTTCTAACCGCCAACCCGCCCGTTGGAGCCCGTAAAAGAAACATAAGAGGCTCTCAATGACATCCCTCTTGTTTTCTCCCCGCGCCTGCTTGCTTGTTTACTCTTTCCTGGCTCTTTTCACATTAAGAAAACAAGGAACGCTTTGAAAATTTTAAGATTACTGCGTGGCGCGTGAGCATGTATAGGAAGCCGGAATTCAGATTAGATAATAAAAGGGACTCGAATAATGGAAAGATTTACTACACGAGGGACTGCCAGATCTTCGGTTGTTAGTATGATCCATTTATAGGGGTGCAGCTTAGGGGGTTGGGTGCAGAGCGGAGGGTGAATACAGGTAGGGCGGAAGGCGGAGAGGGAAGAGCGGAGAGCAGGTAGTTCATGTGCCGCATGGGAAGGGAACTTGGGCTACGGGATATATACCTGGTTATATGTACACACACCATCTTTGCCGCACACGTTCAGCTGACTTAACCCCCTTTTATTTACTCATCGTGTTTGCTTGAAAGCTCCGTGGTATTGGGCTGGGCGTCTGTCTCAAGAACATCATAACTAATTGCAAACTTTCAATTTCAATTTTTTTTCTTTCAGTTCTGCTTATGTACATGGAGCCGCTTCACTGCATATATAGGTTAGCTTGCCTCTCATTCAGTACAGGAGATCAATCATCTCACCAGTTAACCAAGAGGCAAGAGAGTACTTCCTGTGGTTCCAGGTAGATCTCCTGAAAACATGAATCAACTGACCTCTAAGTCCTCTGAATAAATATACTAACAAAACTTGCAAAATTAACAAGAGCTGGGGAAAATTGTATCTTTACGCACACGATAACAAGGGAATAAACATTAAAAGTGAAAAAGCAGATGTGAGTTGAAAAAGAAATATAAATTGCGTAATAGCGAAACCGCTTCTCTCTACCTTCGTCTGATTAAGAAAGTCACTACTTTGGCTGGCTGCCCAGGGTGTATGTTTTTACCAATGAGAAGACGGCTAGCAATACATAGCAAGGGGGAAACAAGGACTAACACTTAGCACTTGATACTCTTGCCATGTAGCAATGATGTTGAGAACAGTGGCAACTGGCAGTTGTTCCCTATATTACAGTAATCAGCCGGTAGAAGAATTGAGACGTACTGTTGCCGCCAAACAAAAAGAAGGTCCATCATTTGCTGTCTATATACTCTAAACAGTGAAGCTTTACCTTGTCTTCAGCTAGTAAAACAGGAGCTTTTGAGAGCTTGTTTAAGTTCCCCCCATGGGAAGTGCAGGCATGTCGAACGTCGTGATTCTTGAAGTCTGACTGGCATTTAGTTCAGAGGAACAGGAGGAGGACCGTACCTGGTCTTTTCTGACACCTTCACTTTTCGCATCACCACCCTGCCCCTGAGACGTTGGTGCCATGCCGTCTGAGGTGGATTTGCGCAAATCAATCCCGCTTATCCACCATGACGCAGCATAAATGATATGAGTAACGGAACGCACTTCCTCCATTGTACGGGGGGAATAGATCATGACAAAGGTGGGAGGGACGAATCGAAACCACCACCACCAGCTCTCTCTGGCAAGGGGATGGCGCTCACCCCAACCCTTTTCGATGATGGTTTTGACGTCTGCCGGGTGGAGAGTGAGATGCATGCTTCCGTCGAAAGCGTGAGAGTGGCAGATCTCTCCGTTGCATGTCAGGTGACTTTGACATCGGGGCAGAGAAAACAGGCCCGTGTTGTGCTTTTCGAAACGGGAAGTCCCCAAGAACAAACTATCCGGATGCCGGAGTGATAATTCTTTGATCGTTGCCGTCAATGCAGTGTAGATAGCTTTCGAGCCCCTATCAGTCATCTGACGCTGTGGAGCAATTCCGACGATCTCTGGGCGATTGCCGATTCGTCTGGGAAGGTTTTTTAGGATCCCGCTCTGTGGATGGATGTAAGATGGAAGGGAGGGAGGATTTAGAGGATTACGCAAGGTAAAGATCCGCAAGACGCATATGCGAAGGTAGCCAGCGGGCGTAGAGGGAGTTCCGCCAGGACCAAGTGCCAGGAAGTCATGATATCCTTTATGGACTTTTTTGGCGAAGTTGACTAGCCATAATGCCACAAGAGTAAACAGGGCCAGTGACAAGGTAGAAGATGCAAGAGGCTCTTTCCAGGACATTGCAATAGAATGCAACTGTGTCTTCATGAGTCACTGAATATGATATAGAGCAATACAGAGCAATGCAGAGGTCTTGACATACCATTCTGTGATGAACAGTCACGGATGTATGAAAAATGCCTTCCACACTCCACAGTTTAAACACACCCACAATTTACCAGGAAACAAGAAGGCAGAAAAAAGACAATCCGGAGCAAAAAACGAGTGTCTGAAGTATAACAACAAAAATGTTGGGAGGCTTGAGAAATCTATAGGAAGAGAAAGAGAGAGAGAGAGAGACTCATTAATAACTGCTAGGAGCCAGCTTTCCAGAGAAGAACTCAAGGAGAGCAACACAGGGAGCGGTATAGGATGAAAGGATTCCTAGGGCAAGCTATTTATCGTCCTCTACAAGTTATTTTTCGAGTTCTCAAGTGACTGCAGCGATATTCGCAGTGCGAACCTGACCCAAAGCCAATGGCTACGGCAGCAGCCATGCACCCCGGCTGGACGAACCAGCTCACAGCAGAAGCGACTTCCACCCGCCGCAGGACAGACAGTTCAGCTGGGTTGATATCCGCTCGAGAAGTTGGGACAAAACAAGTTCAATCATACACAGCCTCTGGATATCAGCCAGCTAAGGTTTTTTTTTTTTAAAAAAAAACCCTTCACGTAGCTGATCATGGAGAAAATAAACATGCGGGTGCGGTGAAGAGCATGTGTTGATGTCCCATGGAGTTAAAGAGTATTATTGTTGTTGTGCTTCGTCAGACTTGCATCACCTGCCAAGGGAGAAAGCTTTGGCACTTCGAATTGGTAACTGTCTGGTGAACTCGCTCATTAACTAATAGCTGGTTATAGTTTGGCTGCGCCACGGGGGAGGGTTTGGGTCTCTTTATTTGATGTTGGACACCCAATTTGGCCTTCAGGAGGCCCTAGGCTCGAGTTATTATAGACAGTTACATAACCCACTTCGCCCACTTGGACGAATACGCGGGATGTTCAGGCCGACATTGGATCATATGGTCGTTGGATGACCCTTGCACCACGAGATTGGCATTGAAGAGAAGCTGCATCAAAGGGGCCACCCTTGAGCAGTCTGTTCCTTCAACCGCCATCGTTCTTCTTTTGTGTTGGCGAAGTACGGGTATTCGAAGGATGGTTGTAAACATATTGGGATTTGGGCCAGCCCTGTGCTCTGTCGAAGACCCCCACTTTGGATCTATAACTATAACTATAACTAGTTGACTAGTTTTATGGAATGTAAAGCTGACTTTTTGAGAGATATTTAGTTGTCGAATGACAGACTACCATCCAAGACCCTGCCATCCGTTACATCCTGCTGCTACACACTAGAGGTCTCCTTTTGACAAGAGTTATTTAATGCTAAAGAATATAAGGTTTTCTGCGCCTTTTCTCATTCAAACAGGAATATGGCCCTAATTCAGGATCTGAACAGAGTCTGGACCATTCTAGGTTTTCCCCCATGTCCTCTTCTCAAGGCTGTTGTCCATTGGACTTTACCTGAGAAGTTTCCAGTACCACCAATCTCTTCCAATAGTTAGTTAAACCTCCAAAGACTTTACTAGCCGCAGTAGGCGACGAAAACATAAGAGCCTGACCTATTATGGTGCACAAAGAGATTCAAACCCAAACTCTGCTAGTTAGTTTACTTCACTGGTTAGTTAAGGTTCTCACGGGAATCTCATGCTATCTTTATGAAAACTCAAATGCAGTCAGACTATTGAGCGAATCTGCTCTGTAGAAATAACACAAACATGTTCACAGAATAGCCCGAGGTCAGCTGTAATGAGCAATCAAAAAGCTGTAGTTAGAAATGGAGATTTCAAGCATCTAATATACTCCATTCTTGTGATAAACAGCGTGTGAATAAATAAAAGACTGTATATCAGAGTGTGAACCATCCGTAAATCAATGTTTAGATAGAAGATAGCATACCAAGCAGGGAAAGGAGAACACAGGCCTTTCGTTCTTCGATTCTTTTGACCATAGACGACGTGAAAAAGTACGTTCAAAAATGATAAAATTGAAAGGATGTAACGAATGAGGCCGTAGCCGGGAAGCGTCAATTGTTATTACTGCGTATTGAGTTCAGAGGATCCATCCCAACATTTACAAACTCTAGGTAGAATTATATGGTTGAGTGGATCGTGTGTAGCTATATCGTTCTCTGTTCATCAGCAGAGATGGAGAGGGGTATAAAAGCCAGTCTCGCAGAATCTCACAAGACTTATTTCGAGAACAGCAACATTCAATTCAATTCATAGAAGGCATCTCCCCCCATAGTGCATTTATCAAATACTGGTTCAATCACATAGATTTAGAGGGCTCCCGCGTTCCCCTGATGTCATGGGTTTCGGAACCTAGAAGCAGAAAAAAAGAATCCGCACTCCATAGTTACCTCCTCCCAAAATGAAGTGCACTTGGCTGCTAAATTGGGTTAATTATTCCCCACGCACCTCACCTCTGCTGCTGCGGTTGCCCGCATGGCATTCGCTCGATCTTGTTGGTGGGTAGCTAAATAGCTGATATTCCACATGCGCAAGCTGGTTCAGGCGTTGGGTTTGGCAGCTGACTCCACCAGCAACTAACTAGTTGGATCCATCGCAGCACGGTTCACGATCTTATTGATCCACGTTCCCGTAACTAACTAGACCGGCAGACCTGACGTGAGCAGGCGGGTTTCCGACAAGTCTATTAATTTCAATATTCTCCACGAATTTGCAGATTATCTCACCAGAGAGTTATGACAGTTGGGGAGTTTGAGAGGTAGGAATAATGGCAGTGAGGGAGGAGCCGTCAAAAGGTTTGACAGTCTTGCTGCATTCAGAGACCCCACCAAAACAAGGTGGTATCGACATTTGACTTCATCGATGATGCAGTTCTCGAACATGCATGGGCTACAGCACATGCGGGGTGCTCTCCACTCCAGCCTACAGCGCTTTATGTCGAGTTGCAACTTGCCTTTTTCCAACCCAATATTTGGGATACTCGTACAGCCTGACCGTCTGAATGCCAGGGGAGCTTGACCATGCTGCAGAGCTAACTAGTCACCTGCTGATCAAGAACGCGATACCGGAATTTTTTCATCTGTGCCGAGAGGGTCAACATCTTTACATTCGGCATCGATCGACCCTTGGAAATCGGGCAATAAGATGCATGAAACCACACAAAATTATCATTTTCTCGATTGCCTTTTGGAATCTCCAGGGGGTGTGGTGCTTTGGGGAAATCTTTCCGCTTCTTTTTGTATTATATCTGATTAACCTGTCCCATAACCGCGGTTCCTTCGAAATATGAGAAAGGGAACTTGGCCAGGCCGGCCTCTTTACAATGGTATATTGCCCCGGAAAAGACTAAGGGGTTGGAGGATCAGCGGCAACCGATTCATTCACTGGATCTATCAATAGTAAGAAACCAACGTCGGATCTCCATTGTTATATGAAGGCATTCGCGCATTGAATTCGAGGTTGGATACGCCTCTGGAACGCTCTCATGGCAAGTATGCGGGGCCATCTGCAATACCACCGAACTGTTGACGCTGGCGGTTTGGTTAACTAAGGGCTTCAAAATATTGCATCCTAATTATGTTTCCAAGAGCGTTGGAACCCGGACATCCTTAGTCAGCCCGTCCAGTTGCTATGGGGATTAAACCGGGACTACTAGTACACTTTGGGACTAGCGAACTCGAAGGCTTCCTTGCGGATGCTCTGTGGGTCATGTTTTTTCCTTTTTGACGACGATAATTTTATAGAGCCCCTTTCGTCTCCTTGATTTTTCGCTGATTGGCCTACTGCGGAAATAAAATAAGCCGTTTGCTATCTGTGTTTATATATGGATGGCAGCGATCTTTTGCTGGGTTAGTGATTGGTATCCTTCATTGCCCGTTGTCGAATGTACAATGACGTCCGGTTAACTACCACACACAGCATTCCATACAACGGCCCGGTTTGATAGTGGATACCGCGATTCGGACACTTCAGTTTGACAGCTGCCTTATCCCTCCATCCTTTATTCCACCCCACCCCCCATCCCCCGTGTCAGCGTTAATGTCCTGGTTTGCATCATTATCGAGAAGGAAATGACACGCCACCACGCCTCTTCTCATTTTCGCGATGACGTTACCCAATGTCTCAAGTTAGAAACAGACGCAGAGAAACAGTATTATTCCTGCCCATCCCGACGCACTTCTTTCGACCATGATGAAGACTCCGCGGTCTACATAGATTCTCCTTACGACGCAACTGCTTCCGTGGAACCCATACTAGGCTGCCGCAACTTGCCAGTGAAACGGAAACGGAGATTTCACCTCTACAGAGTGCCACATTCTGTTATGCGACGGATATGTTGGGCTGTATTCATGGGATTGCTTCTGTTTGTCGCATTTCTATTCCGGCTTAGCATTGCTGGCTCCTCGTTCAGCGCTAGCGCTGTGCGACTAAACCCGCCAAACGAGAAGCCCACATCAGCTCAGTGGGAAAATTTCCCATTCCTTACCCGGTTTTACGGAGGGATAAAGACACTGGTTCCAAGGCAAGATAATGTCCCTGAGTACCCAATTGATGGGATGGTCGAAAAGATTATGGATTTGCCAACAGGTGACGGAAAGGGGGGGGAGTCGGGAAAGAAAGCTGAGGCGATGAGGAGTACGGTTTTCAACCCCTATCCGGATTACAAATCCAAAAACTATATTGAAAAGTATGGAGTGAAGAGTGATTGCTTTCTGGATGCTGAGAAGAAAGTGACGATCCCACCGGTACGACATTTCCCAGGTATACCCAAAGGATTTCCAAATGCTGCGATGGGATCAAATAAGCTCTTGGGCATAAATGACGATGTGTGTTTCGATAGATTTGGACGGCTTGGTCCGTACGGTCTTGGCTATGGCATTGCCTCAGGTGGGAGTGGGGCTGGCCTGGAGGGCGACAGATCAGGGGTAGCTGAGGTATGGGAAGATGTCCCGCCTGTTGATTTCCGAGCCATCAAATGGGCGGAAGCACAAGACCGCTGTGTAGCTGCAAACAGCCATCGATTTTCTAAGCTTGAACATCCAAGGGTTGATCGGATTGCTGCTGTGACACTGGGTACTCTGGATGCAAGGTACGAAGAAGAGGGGCCCGTAACTACACCGCCTAAGGACAATGAAGACGCTGTGGCCGCCAACGCTACATTGAAACTTCCACGAACGGCTGTTATCATTCGAACCTGGAGTGAATACAAATACAACAAGGAAGAAATCATATATTTGCGTTCTTTAATTACAGAGTTATCCTTGACATCTGGAGGGGAATACACACTTCATTTCTTGATACAAGTGAAAGATGACAACCTGCAAATTTGGTCGGACGATGAGACCTACCGTCGTGTTCTTAGAGATTCTCTACCGAACGAATTCCGCGGAATGGGCACACTGTGGTCAGAAAGACAGATGGGCCTGATATATGGTGGTCTTGAAGAGACCTTCGCTCGAGACCTCCCTGTCCATGGAGTTTACAGGAGCACTTTTATGCCCGTCCAATACTTTTCCTATCGACATCCTGAATATGACTTCATCTGGAACTGGGAAATGGATATCCGATACACTGGACACTGGTATCACTTCTTCCAAAAGGTTAGTGAGTGGGCGAGAGAACAACCACGCAAGGGTCTTTGGGAGCGCAACTCGCGATTCTACCTTCCATCCGTGCACGGGTCCTGGGAAGATTTCCGCCAAATGACCCGCGTGCAAACTGAGATTGGAACCGACAGTGCCAATAATATGTGGGCCAGGCCCGCTAAAAGTCACCCTAAAATCCGCCCAGAAGCGATCAAAGCAGACAAGCCAATCTGGGGCCCCGAACGACCCCATGAGCAGGACATTTTCGAAGTCGACGGTGAAGGTATCCCCCCAACAACCTACGAGAAAGACAACTACGTGTGGGGCGTTGGTGAAGATGCCGACTTAATCGTCTTCAACCCTCTCTATGATCCAGTAGGAACCACTTGGCTTCTCCGCGACGATGTAACTGGGTACAACAAAGAGGACGGAGGGCCTCCCCGCCGCGCAGCAATTGTCGCTGCCTCGCGATTATCACGCAAGCTTCTAACCACAATGCACCTCGAGACAAGTATGAAACGCCACACGATGTTTTCAGAGATGTGGCCCGCCACAACTGCGCTCCACCACGGCCTCAAAGCCGTCTTTGCTCCCCACTCTGTATACATCGATCGTCGCTGGCCGATCAAGCATCTTGAATCAACGTTTAATGCCGGCCGCAATGGCGCAACTGGGGCATCCAGGATATCTGTATTCGGCGACCGGGAGCATAATTTTAGAGGTACGACGTGGTTCTATTCTGCGATCCATTCAGCAAATCTTTGGCGCCGGTGGCTTGGATATAGGGTTGATGGCGGTGGTGGGGAAGAGTATGAGCTGGCGACCGAGGGGCGGATGTGTTTGCCTCCTATTTTGCTTCATCCCATCAAGGATATTGAGATGATTGTTGAGAGTGTGGATCGTTGAGACTGTTCTGGTGTTTGCGAATGGGTCTTCCTTTTCCTTTTTATGGGGAGTTTCTGTTTTATTTTATCTTGTCTAACTGGCATTCATTTTGTCTGTAAAAAGTTTTGTTTTTTCTGCTCTCCTCGTTTGTTTGGTCATTTTCTTTTGTTCCCTCATGAGCGGCGTTATGTTTTCTTTCTTTTGTTGTCTCTTTACTCTTAGTAATAGGTGGTGCGTCGACATCGACTCGACTCCTTTATTTACCGGTGGCGGTCTCTGCAGCGTTTTTGTATTTTGATTATGTACCTGACACGCCATCCCCTTCCATTATAATTTAGTAGACATGATGAGAACAATGAATGATGGAGTAAGACCCAAGCAAAATTCCTTTCTGCCTCATGTGATATTTTGAAATTCGTATTTACCCTTTTCTCTCCGTGTACCTCGCATCCCCCCTGTGGAATGGCAAAGTTCCTTCGTATCGTTCCATGGCATATGTTAATATCCTTTCCTCTAGAATTGATGTTCTAGGACCTTCTTCAACTATTTCACGACTGATTTTCTGTAAAGATATTGTATCGACTTGGGTTGTATGCTAATTTATGTCATTCCGCGTCTGATTTTTGATGTAACCATCTAACTATGTGCAGTTATCCACAAGCCATATATTCCTTTTCATCATAATCCGCAAAGTCCAGAATAGTATCAATCGAAATTACAGTTGAATTTTCGGAAAGGATGGATCGTTTTAAATTTCTAATTCTAGGGTTAGATACACCTTTTAACTCCCTGACTCCAGGGAACAAAAATCAGAACAAAAAACAGAAATCCAAAAAGAGAAATCAAAAAAGACATCACGTACTAACGTCAGTTCATCTCCTATTTGTTTCGTTTACATTAATCACACAAGTGTTTGCCTAGGTAATCCCCTTCCAAATCAACATACAGATCTCCGACGCTGCTCTCCTCTGTGCATCTCAAAATAAAACTGAAAATCGATGTAAATGTATCTGCAGCTCTTTCAACCGCAGCTTCATCAATCGTTCTTGGATCGTACTGGAATTTCGTTTTGTAACCTGTCGGGGACTTGAATACCTCGCACATGAGCGCGTAGTTGAAAAACATCCTGTTCTGGCTCACGCCCATGACGATCCAACGCATGTGTGCATCAAGTGCTTTGGGTGGGGGATCGAACGGTTGGAAGCAGAACATGGTCTTAGCACCACTTCTGTTCCGATCAATATCAAGAGCATTGTAGATCTCTGCAAGGCCAACCATCCCATTCTCAGTGGTCTCCCAGAGGAGTGTCTGCGTATCGTGAAGGAGAGTCCTAAGAGATTTTTCCCTTTGGAACTGAGTTCGGAAAGGGAGGAAATTAGCGCAGTTGCCATTGATCCGTTGCGGATTGTCAAGGTTCACGTTGCGACCGGTTAGGAGGTTGTCATACGTGACATCATGGCTGTTACTTAGAAACGCTAGAAGTAAACCCCAAACTGTCTGAAATACAATGGGTATGGTGATTCCGGTACGGTGTGCGAAGTCGTTGACCTCGACTCCAAAATCCCTGGTGAGCATTCCTCCAACTTTTGGTTCTAAGGATTGGCTAAGATAATCAAATTTGTTTCCTTGGAGTAGATTCACCCAGAACTTGAGCATTTTGTCGGAGTCACTTGCGGAATGATATTTTATAAGCTCGGTGAACTCTGTGGGCTGTGGTGGTTCCTCATTCCTAGCTATAGCGACGAACTGATCGTCGAATATACGAAGCAGGGTGCCATCATACATGGCATGATCTATTTTTATATAGAGATCAAGCGTAGCATCTTGCGTTGACTTCAAAATTCGGTATTGGATAAAAGGTTTACCCACTGCGAATCGACCATTCCACAGGAGGTCGATAATTTTGTCTCGTTCTTCGGCGCTGTGGTAATATATTGTTTCCAAGTCCAGAACGGCTTCTTTCAAAACCACTTGCACCCATTTTGGAGGCTCCTTATGCTTCAGGCTCTTGACAAACATGGAACGCAAAATCGTATTTCTGGCGGTTAGGTTTTCAACAAGTTCCACCCATCGCTCAACATCAAAGTCAGATGGGACCTTTCGAACCGTCTGGAGTTGCCAGAACTGGTGATCAGTGTGGCCTTGCGTAAGAAATTCAATCTGGCCCGGTACGCAGGGATAGATCGCCTCGATGTCGGTTTCGCGAACGCCTGATTTATTCAAAGCATTGTAGATATCGTCTTCGACTGTGAATAAATCAAGAGACGTCGATTGAACTGCCTTGGTCGTTTTCAAAGGTTTGATTATCCGAGCTTGCTCCTTAATGGAAGGAAATGCCAAAATATCAGCAACGGACAACTCATACCCGAGCTTGCGGCACTCGCTGACAAGGTTGATAGCGGCAATGGAGTCGCCACCAAGTGAATAAAAACTAGACGTAGTCCTGACAGGGTCATTACAATTGAATATGGAACTCCATGCATGTTGTAACACTTCTTCTTCGCTGGTTTCAGGAACCGGAAAATCTAACGCGCTATTGATAGTGATAGAGAGAGGATCTTGGTAGCTTGCGACCAAGGAATCCTCCATTGATTCGATGAACTTCAACACCTCCTTCCGGTTAGTTTTCCCCGACGGCAGAAGAGGAAGACGTGCAACAGGAAACCAAATCGCTGGGAGCATGTAACGTGCAAGAGAAGTGAGACTTGATTGCAACTCCTGGAAGGGATATGCGTCTGACGGGGGCAAGAAGAGGGCGGTATTAGCTTCATTATCATTATCACTAGAGAAGGCCGAGTGGAGTTGACCAACAGCGACGAGCTGCGTCTTGTCGCGCACTTTAGCGGCGAGAACCACACAAGATTTCAACATTCCAGTTTTCAGGATGGCGTTTTCAATTTCTCCAAGCTCAATACGGTAGCCATTGACTTTCACCTGGTTATCTCTCCGGCCAAACAACTCAAATCGTCCGTCAGGCAGCTGGCGAGCTGCGTCACCCGTACGATATATTGTCGTCCCATCGTTTCCAACAAAAAAGGCCGCACGTGTGGCATTAGGGTTATCTAAATAACCCCGGGCTACCTGGAGTCCACCAATGCATAACTCACCTATTTCCTCCCGGGGCAGGGGGGTTTGAGAGTCAAACTCGAAGACTGACAAAACCACGGTGGGTAGCGCAGAGCCAATATTGTTTAGGCTGCTGGTTGGTCCGATGACTGCGGTTGTCACCATGACAGTTCCTTCTGTGGGTCCATAATTATTATAGACCGGAATGCGAGTCGCCCAAGTCTCCAAAATCTCTGGTACAAGAGGCTCTCCTCCAACGATTAGCACCTTTAAACCTGGTACATCTGATGGCTTGAGAAGTTGCTTGACGATAGTAGGCGTCAAGTTAAGATGGGTGACATCGAGGGCATTAACAAATCCAGCAAGATTCGAGAACAATTTGGATTGACTGACAACGCAAAGAGTTCCACCAGCGCCAAGTACTGTGAAAAGATCGAAGTACGACCCGTCGAAGATATAGTTGAGGGCCCATAGTGATCTCCAAGAATCGTCTGCTTGAGTAGCTTCAACCATCCCTCTAGTAGCGTGGAAGACATTGCCGTGAGTAACGAGGACCCCTTTTGGCTCACCAGTACTCCCAGACGTGAAGAGCACATAAGCAAGGTTCTCAGGAGACATTGTTGGATCGATGACATTTCCGGCATCAAAATGGGAAATATCCAGCTGGTCAAGCACAAATAGAACACAGTCAAAAAGGCTCACAGAACTAGAGCTGGCAAGATCACTGAGGACCATTTTTGCTCCAACCTTCTTCACGATGAAATTGGTCCTCGCTGGCGGACTTGTCGGATCTAAGGCGCAAAACGCGGCGCCAGCTTTGAATATTGCCAGTATAGCGACCACCATATTGATTGACTTATCCAAACAGATAGGGACTACATCTTCTGGACGGATTCCCTTGGATAGAAGGAAGTTGGCCAATTGATTCGCCCGCTCATTTAACTGTGTGTAGGATAGAGTATTGCCGTGCTCGTCCTCTACAGCAGTCCTATCTCCGGAATGAGCCACTCGGCGTTCGAACATGGAATGTGCAAATTGAGATGCGGGAACATTCTGTTGAGGTTCAGGTGTAGTAGTTTGAGAAGCGGAATCCAGTATTGAGGATAAATTTAGATCGCCAACAAGCGTCTGTGCATCAAAGAAAAATGCATCGAGAACGGAGGAAAATCCGGAAAGGATGTTTTGCGCAAATACCGGGTTCAGAGTTGATGCTAAGGAAATGCTGCTAAGGTCAGGGTCCCGTGCCTCAATTTTGATATACTCAGTCAAGTCAGGTTGCTTCTCAGCAATAAATGTGAAGGTATCATCGGCATCCGAAGAAGGGGGCTTCACCAAGAAGTTGACAGAAGTGTCAAAGAAGCTGGAAGGGCGATCCGCGGCCAGTAAGATGTTTCGCAGTCCATAGTGAGCATGATCTGATATAATCTGTAACTGGTGGTGAATATCTTTGGCAATTTTATTGATTGTCGAGGACATTGAAATTTGAATACGGAGTGGGACCTGCATAACGGTCGGCCCTGGCATGAGCAGAACATTTTGTATTGGCACATCTCGACCGAAGAGGGTAATACCAAAGATTACTTCGGCATTTCCAAGGATGTGAGAAAGGACAAGCGCCCACGACGCATATAACATCGAGCCGACTGACACACCAAGGGCTCTGCTAGCTGAATGAATTGGAGTTGATAAGTCCAATGTGGTAGTAGTATTTGACCCTTGCATATGTCCCAGCTTTGAAGGCCTGGAATCTTTGAGGTAGTTGCGCCAGAACTCTCGACTTGTATTTTTGTTCTGCTGAGCAAGGTGTCGAACAAACTGATTGTAATGAGGGCGATTAGCTAGCGGGCGTGTACGGATCAAATTGGACAAGTCATCAAATATAAAGCGACTAGACCAGAAATCAAACAGAGCATGATGCATGGTGAACACCAACTCCCCAGTAGCAAGAACAGTGATTTTGAAGAAATGCGATCCCATGGCGATTGGGAGTGGTTTTTGCTCCAGGTACTCAGTCAGAGTAAGGTCCAATTCCTGCCAATAGAGGTTTGCCCCATTTGGAACGATTTGAATGTAGGTCTTTCCATATGGAGCAAAAGTACTCCGAAGGAACGTGTCGCTCTCCATAAGGGTTTGTAGAGCGACCTTTAATTCTCCAACATTGGCATTTTTAAGCCTGACGACCCTGTCATAGATGTAATTGGTGCCACCAAGCATGACATCAGCAATCAAGGGCTCCTGGGATGCAGTAACGGGCCATGCGTCTTCGATACCTTTGCCAATGGTGTAGTTTTTGGGAAGAAGTGAGAACGGGTTCACATGTGTCGAAGGTATTTGCATCGGCTTGCAAGTGCTCGCTACATCAAAAAGATTTCTTTGAATTATAATATCGTGAGCTTTTACATCGATAAGTTCCTGCCTCGCATGAGATGCAGCGATGATGGCAGAGAGCGAGGATCCACCAAGATTCAAAAACGAATCCTCCAAATTGATTCTTATCTCCGGCAGGCGTAGAACGTCCGCCCATATACGCCTTAGAGAGCTTTCAACTCGGGTGAGGGGACGTTGGTCTGTGTCCTGGACCTGGGAAATCGAGTGTATGAGTAGTTCTTGTGGTGGAATCGCCTCTACGAGGCGAGAAAGTAGAGGAACATCGATTTTGCCGTTGACGTTCAAAGGCAGTTCGGTTTGCTTCCACCAGTATGCAGGAACCATGTACGACGGCACACGGTCTCGAAGGAGACTCAGCAAATCTAGAACTAGAGATGACCATTCTATTTTCCCTTTTGGCACAACAACTGCGACGAGCGATTTATTGTCTCCCATGGTTGCGGACACGGTCCACGCATCAAAAACGTCAGGGTGTCCTTGAATAAAGCAATTGACTTCTCCTGGTTCAACACGCTGGCCGTTAATCTTAACTTGAAAGTCTATGCGACCAATCATTTCAATGCTACCGTCAGAGTGAGTTACCACCATATCACCAGTACGATACAGGCGACCGGGACCAAATGGATTTCGCATGAAAGACTCCCGCGTTTTCTCTGGCCTGTTAAGGTAGGATCTTGCAAGTTGATGTCCACCAAGACACAACTCTCCCGGTTCAAGAATCGCGGCCAGCCGCGTAGTTCCTGGGACAAGGACATAGGAACGGGTGGAGTCGATGGGACGACCAATGTTCTGAGGATTTTGTTTAGGATGCATGGTATGTCGCCAGTTGATTTGCGTCACCTCACTCAAACCATACGCATTCAAAAGCTCAAGCTTGTTCATCCAGACCGGTAGCAGAGCTGGATTGATCAACTCGCCTGCAACAGTCATCCGACGCAGAGTAGGAACGCAGGTTGGGCCAATCAAAGTTGCAGTTGACGGTGTGACATCTATTACACTCACAGCCATTGAATTTATCATTTCGGTTATCCGGACTGTCAGATTTTCTTTCCTGGCCAGACACAGACATCCTCCTTGCTTTAACGTGGAGAAAATTGAGCGTTGTGCGGCAGAGAAAATTGGATTGTGGAAAAGAAGTTGTCGAAGATTTGGAAGAGTTGGAAAAGCCGTCAAGCCTGTGTAGGCTGATCTATGCTCTAACAGAACGCCCTTCGGTTTCCCCGTTGAACCGGAGGTATAAATGACATAACAAATGTCAGTCGCCTCTTGTGTCACGCTCAAGTTGGAATCATCCAAGTTGGGAGCCTTGTCCATTAGATCCCCAATCAGATAGGGATATGCAAAATTAGCTGCCAAGCCCTCATCAGTGATAACAATTCGTGCCTGAACGTCAGAGACAATAAAAGAATTACGTTCGACTGGGCTTTCGGGGTCCAGAATGACATAAGCGGCGCCCGTCTTTAGGATAGCCAGAAGAGAGATAATGAGCGCAGGGGAGCGATCCATGCACACAGGTACGTAGTCACCTCGTCCACAACCAAGTTGGCGAGCAACTTGATTAGATAGTTTGTTAACTTCCTCATAACTAAGGGACATCTGGCCCTCAAAGTTGATGCAGTCATTAAGCGGGTTCAGTTCGACTTGGCGCTCAAAGAGTGCATGGATAAGACCCGTAGCAGGTGCACTGACGGGTTCACTGCACTGTAATAGGAATTCCTTTTCCGCGATGGGCATGATTTCAACATCTGAGAGAGGGATGGTACAATCTTGCAAAGCTTCCTTTATGACAGCCATAAAATGAAGGAAGATAACTTGCAAATTGTGATGTTCTGATGTGTCTGAGTAGTATTGCATATCAACCAATTGTCGCTGGAGATCGATGTTTATTTTTAATGGGAATAGAATAATATCATCTCCCTCCTTATCGATATCTAGTCCTTCGGATACAAGGACATGAACTTGTGGTAGGACAGGAAGAATTTGGCCTTTGATCCTATTGTATCCTACGAATGCATTTCTCGAAGCCTCTTGGTTCATTTTGGCAACCTGTCGAATCCAGCTCAGCAGCGGTAAATCGTCCTCGATGACTAGCTTCAGGGGGTAGCATAACTCCGCACGCCCAACAACTGAGTCGTAGCCAGGAGCACTGGTGTCTCGGCCGTTCACAGCAAAAACCACTGTGCCATCAATAGCAGCAGTATGCCGATACTGCACGAGGGACCATACAGCATAAACGAGGTCCTGAAGCGATAGGGAATGACATTCCAAAAAGGGATAGATATCTTTTACCAATAGCTCGGGTATATTCGACGTGAAAGTGCTCCTCTTGCCAGAGGTGTTCGTTGGGAATCCATATGACAGCGAGGTGACCGTCCCATTCATCAAATTTCGCCAGTAGGATAAAGCACTCTGATGATCTCGTTTGCTGATGTGCTCAGCGTAATATTTGAACTGGTAGTGAGGTTCACAGGCAAAACCATGAAAAAAAAGATCGAAATCCCGACTAATAAGGGCAAGGGATGGACGGTCCACCAATACACGAAAGATGCGTAGTTGAAAAGTAACGCCCATTTCGGTGAAAATGATAGTGAACTCCGCAGTTTTCATCGGAGCAGAATTATATGTAGCAAATTCTTGGCCATTTTGGATGCGAATCGGCGCTGCTCTCCTGAACACAACCAGATAAGGTTCTTCATCGGTCCTGCCAGGCTTTATCGAAGTCCGCAAGACAGGATTGTGACTTGCAACAGCTTGCCAGGTATACACAAGTCGGTCGATGCTCGGACATAGCTGGCGCGAATCCCACCGGAGTGTATAAGTTGGGTGCTCCCCCGAAGAAGTTCGAGAACAGTACCTAAGCTGCTGCTCGGAACACTGCATCTCCTCGTGGACCTCAGAGATGGCCATGTCGAAACCCCCTATCACGATCGGCTTCTCGGCTTCTGTTTTTCTTGCTGGCGAGGCATAGATTTTCCGAAGAAGGGAACGAAGTGGTAAAGCAAACAATAGAGAAAATATTAATAATCCAAAAGCTGACAAATTGCTAAACATCTGATCTGGAAGACGTTTCTATAAAGCTTCTTTTGCTCATGGCTTGGTTATTTGCAAAAGAGTGTCGTTTCCCCAGGGAGATTTATACCATGTCAAATGGCAGTTCATAATATTTGAACACGATTTACACACCCCGCTGCTGCGCCGAAAGTGCTGTTCCTGTCTTTGCTCGTATTCAATTTTGCCACTTTTCTTGGAATGACCCAACGGGATAATTCCATGCAGACGCGGCTGCCTGGGATAGGACACAGTTCCGAAACACATACATCCCGTAGCTCAAAGGACCAGTTAACAAGGCAAGAAGTAGTGAGTGCAACGAATTCGCAGCAGACCAGGTGGTTCCATGCGTGAGCAGAGGATGCCGCAGCCCTGGGGAGAAGATGGTTGGCGCCGATCATTTTGGCGCACCGTATAAACCAACCAATGATTTATTGGCAACCTTGTTTCTTCAGGAAGTCTAGAAAATTGTCCAGGTTAACTCGTATCACATCGATAACAGCCACGTTGCTGTCATGCACATGGCCGAGAGTTTCAAGGAGAGGAAGTTTGACTGGAGCCATATTTAGATATTTTCCAGCCACTATGAATGGGCTGAGGCTTGTATGGAAGCGAATCTTGAAAATGCACAATCAAGCATGGACTAGGCCCTTGCAAGTGTACACAATGAGGTTCCACTCTATTACACTTGATACGGGCCAGCTCTATTTTTTTAAGAAGGGCTGGCATATGCGAGGTTGAACCAAGGCCATCATTGCTGAAAGTTCACAGCGCCGTGTTGAATATTGCAAATGCCGAAAAGGGGAAAGAAAGGAACTCTCAGCAGAGAAGTCAATTGCGGTCCCAATGGTTGTCCAAAACTAGAACGGGGTATGCCACATACAATAAAGCAACGAAATGTCTCTCGAAATACCTGTTTGTTTGGCTACATAATTCTATCCCCACACCTGAGGATTGAAGTCAGTCAAGGGGAATATTCACGGCGTTTCGCCCCGAGGAAAGCCGATCCTGGTTAGGGAGTTTTAGGGATTCAAAACACGTCCAATAAGACATTTCATGATAAAGCAGCTGAACTCCAATGCCTATCAGATTAGCCACTGAAAATCTCCAGTATACATATCGATCGTAGACGTTTTTGTCAATTTGCTTCATTCTCATTCCTTGGCTGGGTTCCGTTGAGTCCTCCAGTTTCCAGCATCGATCCTTGAGGAGGTTGGAAATCACGTGGATGGAGAAATGCACTAATCTATGTGAGGTTAGAACCTCCTCCGGTTTCACCACATCATCATCATCATCATCATCATCATCATCATCATCATCATCATCATCATC